TCCTGTTGCCACATGGCGGGTGCTGGGAGGACTGTGTGTGTGTTTGTGGAGAACTTTAGTTTGTATTATTTCAAGTAAATAATGAATCCCTTTCCTTTTCACTGATCTCCGGTATTAAGAGACATCTTTCCTCAGGAGGCAGGCAAAATGAACTCAGTAGGTGGGGTGGAACCCCCGGAGAAAAAGGGGGGTCTCTTATATTGTTCAGCATCCCCCCATAAGTAACAAGAACACAGAGAAAGACAGCCATCCATGAACTAAGTTGCAGGTCTCACCAGACACCAAGTCCAGCACTATGATCTTGGACTTCTTAGCCTCCAGAGCCGTGAGAAATAAATGTGTGCTGTTCATAAAGCAGTCCATTTATAGTATTTTGTTTTAACAGCCTCGATGGACTAAGACATATATATCTATACTTATAAATGTACCAAGAATTCCTTTTCAGGTACTAAACTAAACATTTGTAACTGGGATGTGTTCTTTTATGAAGGAAATATTTAAAAATGTATAGCCCTGGCTGGTGTGGCTCAGTGGCTTGAGCGCCAGCCTGTGAACCAGAAGGTCGCCAGTTCGATTCCCAGTCAGGGCACATGCCTGAATTTCAGGCCAGGTCCCCAGTAGGGGGCGCTTGAGAAGCAACTGAAAGATGTATCTCTTGCACGTCGATGTTTCTGTGCTTTTCTTTCTCCTTTCCTTCCCCTCTCTCTAAAGATAAACAAATAAAATGTTTTTTAAAAAAGATATACACTTCTACTTTTTGGTTATTTAACATTGTTTTACCAATTCAATGTATTTCCTCTTTAATAGATTATAAATATATGATCTTTAGAGATTCTATATTTATTATTTGTGCTCTCTGACCTTGTGTAAATCACTCAAATGCTGGGATGGTTGTAGGGGAAACATCGGTTCTAAGGAAGTAACTGGAAGCGGAGCTGACACAGGCAATCACCGTTCCTACCAACGGACCGCCAGCGAGAGAGGAACTCTAGCTACGCATCAGCACAAGTGACCCTCATGCACGATGGCATGGAACTTTTTTCCCCAATGAAATATGGAAAAATTTAGCGGCAGAGAGTGCAGCTGGCCTCAAATACTCTCTGAAGGGAGACCACGTTTTTATTTTATTTTAACGTGGCGTTCTCCTGGGTAACAGCCCAGTAGGAATGTGTCCTGGAGAAGGTGCCAGAAACTGCACTGCTCTGATTAGATGGGGCATTAAGCAGAGCCGGGCCGCTGGAAGCGCCAAGATAAAGATGGTCCAAACCTTGAATTCGCCCTATCTCCCTGAAACGTTCTCCTCATGCAAGACTTAGCCATGGAAATAAACAACAGCTTCAGCTATTAACTGCATGTGTCATGAAAGGGGGCAAAGTTGGGGTTTTTGTTAATGGGCTTTTTTGTGTCCTTTTAATTTGCTCCGCTGGCCATGAAAAAGTGTTATTTGCATTCCTTTATGATATTAAGTGTGAAGGTAACTCTGAAAGCAAATGGAGAATTATTGTCACCTCTCAGAAGCCCCCATTCCATCAAACCTAGAGAGCTTTCCATAGGCAATTTTGTTCTGAATGGAAGGCTGTCATTCCTTCCGAGCAGGGTGATTGAACAGATTCAAGTTAGGAGAGGAGTCGGCAGCGTTCAAGGAAGTGGCAAGAATGCATTAACGGTGATGTATTATTCCTTGAAGAAAAACAATCACTGTCAAGTTCAAATAATGTGCCATTTCGTAACCTCTTCATAGTACCATCCAGGGGTGATGGATGTCCGTCCTGCCTTAAGTGAGGATTGTGGCTTATCTCAGCCTGGTACTGGCAACGCCACCTCAATCACACACACGGTGCATGCGTACTTTCGAAGGGCGAAAGGAGAAAGGTATCGTTTATCACTCACAATTTGCTTGATAAAGTGAGTTATGATAGGGAAAGAAAGCATTAGGGGCTCATGTGCGCTCATATTACATTTTTGAATGTTCCCAGCTCTTAGCTATGGATTGTCGATAAGTGGTATTTCAGGATATTGAACTAAAACTGTGATTATGTTTTCCAAAATAACTACAGCAGTGTGTTTGGGGTTGTATCATAGAATACTGAGTGCTGCCCCGTTTTTTCTTATTCTGAACAGTTATAATTCATGTATTTCTTCCAGTGAATGCAACCTGGAAAAACAAACACTTTGAAGCTGATAGGTGGTGTTGGAACACAGTTATCTTCATTTAATGAGATTAGTGGAAGGTAGAGAAAATAATTTTTCAGGGGGACCATTTCTCCCATGATGGCTAGACAGCAGAGTTGAGAATGTTACAAGTAATTTGGGGATTTTTAGAGCAACTACAGACACAAAAAGGCATTTACACTCAGTTTACCAACATTTTTTAAAACTATTTTTTAAATTTTTAAAAAGACTTTATTTATTTATCTTTAGAGGGGAAGGAAAGGAGAGAGAGAGAGAAACATCAATGTATGGTTGCCCCTTGTGTGTCCCCTGCTGGGAACTGGCCTGCAACCCAAGCATGTGCCCTGACTGGGAATCGAACCAAGATCTTCTGGTTCCCAGGCCCACGCTCAATCCACTGAGCTACACCAGCCAGGACTCAGTTTACCAATATTTTTAATGGTAAGCACATTTTCAGATTTACTGGTCTGACACTAGCTTAAACATAGACAATATCTAGTGTGAGTCTTTTTTCTCATTTTGAGTATTGTTTTTCTAAAATTTCAATTTTTAGATAGAGAGGAAGGGGAGAGAGAGAGAGAGAAAAGGAAAAAGAGAAACATCGATTTGTTGTTCCATTTACTTATGCATTCATTGGTTGACTCTTTTAAAAAATTTTTTAGTTATTTATTTTTAGAGCAAGAGGAAGGGAGAGAGAAAGAGAAGCAGAGAAACATCGATGTGCAAGAGTTATATCCATTGATTGCCTCTTGCACGCCCCGACCTGGGGACCTGGCCTGCAAGCCAGGCATGTGCCCTGACTGGGAATCAAACCAGCGACCATTTGGTTGGCAGGCTGGCGCTCAATCCTCTGAGCCATACCAACCAGGGCCATTGGTTGATTCTTGTATGTGCCCTGACTGGGGACTGAACCTGCAACTTTGATGTATCAGGACGACACTCTAACCAATAGAGCCGCCCAGCCAGGGCCAAGTATTGTTTGATAAAAGTGACATTGATTGGCTTGGCACGGGTAAACCTAACAATTTAATCTGTCAAATGCCATAGCTCAATCATACAGAGTCTGAAGAATAAATGTTAATGTCTAGGCCAGAAATTATTTTTTAAAAATTCACAGGGTATCTATTCTATTTTGATTACTGAATTAACAAATCTTTTAAAAAAACTGGTGTGGCTCAGTGGGTTGGGTGTCCTCCTGCAAGGTGAAAGGTCGCCGGTTCGATTTCCGGTTGGGGCACAGGCCTCAGGTGCAGGTTTGGTCCCGGTGGGGGTATGTGAGAGGCAACAGATGGATGTTTCTCTCTCATATCGATGTTTCTCTCCCTCTCTTGCTCCCTTCCTTCCTCTCTTTCTAAAAATAAATAAAATCTTAAATAACAAAATAAAGAAAGCCTTCACCCGTACTATGGCCATATGATCTATTCCATATAGTGATATAAATCATTGAACACGAGAGAAGGTGTCCCTTTCTCCTCACTGAGAACCACAAGGAGAAGGGGGGGAATAAACAGAAATGGACTCTTTGTTGTGTCAAATCCTGTCCTAGGAAGGTCTGTGACCCACGGGGACCTGACCTCAGCCAGGTGAACAGGGCTTCCGGAACAGCACGCTGTCCTTGCAGAGAGCTCACTCCCGAGCCTCCAATCCGGTCCCAGCCAGAGGGCCAGCCTCCTCTGCAGGGCGACCTGCCAGTGCGGGAACCCGAGGTCACCCAGGCCAGGCTTGGGGACCTCTGGGAGCTTTGCCCTGAGACTCCGTGGCTGTTCACGCAGTCAGAAAAACGACAGACAGCAGGCCAAGGACTTTCTGAGTGAATAGACTCTGATAATGGGCCCCAAGTACATATTCATATTAAGAAGCCTGACAAATGGGAAACTCAATCATGCACGCTAATGAAAAACACTGTTGTCCGTACACTTTTCTATTATACTTCCTAATTATCGTGACTTACTTAGAAGCAAACCATGAGCAAATTAAAGAGAATGGATGGTGTACGTTTTTCATGCCTTTCAGAGGTGGGGGACATTGAATAGAGTGGGAACCATTTGGATGGTTGTTCTGAGTTCTTGGTTTATTCAAATCCTTCCTGTTAGTCTGCACCGGAAAGAAATGGCCACAAAGGCTACCATAGTCCAAGATTTTGGGGTTTTCTTCCCCTCACTGGAAGACATGCTTATGGATTTTAGAGAGAGAGGAAGAGAGAAACAGCAATAGGTTGCCTCTCATACTCGCCTTGACTGGGGATCAAACCTGCAACCCAGGCATGTGCCCTGACTGGGAATCGAACCAGTGACCTTTTGGTTTATGGGATGATGCTGCAACCCCCCTAAGCCACACTGGCCAGCGTAGTTCAAGGTTTATTCTAGCTCATAAAACGTGTACTTTGGGAGACAAGAAAGCAGGCAAAAGCCCCTCCTATCTGGGCAACTCCAGAACATGCTGCTACAGGAGTGGGAGCGCAGCACAATCGTTATCCCTAGCCAGATTTTTCAGTTTCCCTACTGACGCACACAGTTATCTGAGACACTCTAAATGTGCCTGTTTGGGGCTCCGACAGAGAACAAAGACTACGCACAGTCAGGAACACACTTCAACGGCGTGAACTGCCTGTGACAAAAGGCCGCTGTCCAAGGACCATTCTTCATACACCGTGGGACAAGCCAAGAAGTCACCACTGGTTTGGGCACGACTTAGAAGATACGGTATCAGCAGAACGATGTGTGCATGGCCAGAGGACACAGTGAGCTGAGAACCACGAGGGGAGGGAAACAGCAGAGATGAAAACCGGGGCTTTTCAAAGATGGCCAACACACAGATTGTTTACGTACTTGGTAAATAACAGAAGACCTCGTTCTTGACCTCGACCTTCAGTCCTAGGGGCACCGTTAGGTTCGGGCTCAGCGCCAGCTCCCGCTCTTCCTTCTGCGGCGGACACATCTTGTAAGGTCCTGTGTGTTTGCTCTGCGTTACAATGTAAACAGTTGTCACAGTTCTGGCAAGAAGTTCGCCCGAGCTGCCTTGTCTCTCTGCTTCTGCTCTCAAGTTACATGTTGCTGGAGATTTGGCTATTCCAACTTGTCTGCAGAAGGATGAAAATTATTCAGTTCATATTTATCAAGACAAGTATCCATTGGCTCATGCCCTGGCCGGGTAGCTCAGTTGGTTAGAGCATCGTCCCAAAACTTCAAGGGTGCGGGTTTGATTGCTGGTCAGGGCAAGAAGCAACCAATGAACGCATCAGTAAGTGGAACAACAGATCCATTAGTTCTCTCCTTCCCTCTGTCTCTAAAATTGATAAATACATTTTTAAAAGGGATTTTAAAAAAAAGAAGCCCCTTATAAATATGTATTTTCACCTATTTGACTTTTTCGGAGGATGAACCATTTTACTGAACGTTATGAGGTTGTAGTGTGAGGTTTATGATAAGACTGTAATTCACAACTTCCCTAAAAACCCAGGATAGTTTTTCAATTGAAACAAATCTAAAATACAGGTAACCGGTGTAAAGTGGGGGTCCTTCTGGTTCAGTCTCAGAGAAATGTTGTGGCCACATGGAAACCAAAAACCAAACACAGCTTCTGAAGAGCTCAGACTGTTTCCCGAATTCTCACAGACCGGAGTGGGCACCCACGTACGCAGGCAGCGGCGTCACAGGCAGGGATCCCCTTCTTTTGCCTTTGTCCCCGTCCCTCCCACAACTGTCCCAGAACCTCTGCTGCCGTCACTTCTCCCCAACCCTCCCCCACGTCCAGCGTTGCTTTTCTCTGCCCCTCCCCCCACCCCTCCTCATGTCTTCATTATATTGGCCAACCCAAACCTTCTCTTAGCGGCAAAGAACCTCTTCTCTCTAGAAGGAAGGAGCTAAGGAAATTGGGGGATTCATTAAGGTGCTCTCTTTGGAAGGCCGGGAGGAGAAAAACAGCTGAGAAGGCTCCTGGGCTGATATTTTAAAATAGCAGCTTTACTCTACACAATGCAGACATATATACAATGCACATATATGTTCTATATAATGCACATATCCTAAAATTCATCCTTTGGAAGTAATACAGTTCAGTGGTTTGCAGTCGAACCATAGACATACTCAACAACCATGCTCTGATTTCAGGCCAATAGACCCCAGTCCCCTACTTCCGGCCCTTGGCAGCCACTAATCTACTTCCTGTCTCTATGGATTCATCATCTATTCTGGACGTGTCACAGGAAGGAAATCGTACCATACGTGGCATTTTTGTGACTGGCTTCTCTTTTAGCATAAGGCTTTCAAGGTTCATCCATGCAGTAGCATGTATCTGGTCTCCGTTCCTTTTGATTTTTTAAAAGATTTTATTTAATTATTTTTAGAGAGAGGGAGTGAGAAAGAGAAGGAGAGAAACATCAATGTGTGGTTGCCTCTCGCATGCCCCCTGTTGAGGACTCGGCTGCAACCCAGGCATGTGCCCTGACTGGGAATTGAACCAGTGACCCTTTGGTTTGCAGGCGAGCACTCATTCCACTGAGCCACACCAGCCAGGGCTCCATTCCTTTTTTATGGCCGAATAATGTTCCAGTGTATGGACAGACCTCATTTTGTTTATCCACTCATTGGTTGACGGGCATCTGGCTGGTTTGTACTTGTTGGCTCTTAGGTATGAATTATGCAGTCATGAACACTTTCCCAGGTTTTTGTGGGGACATATGTTTTCACCTCTTCTGGGTGTATCCCCAGGAGTGGAGTTGCTGGGTCACGTGGCAGCTCTTAACCTTCTGAGGAACTGTGATCATAACTAAAATTGTCCCTGACAATTGTCTTGGGGGTTATGTAAGGTTCTATTTGGAGTCAGCAACACTTGTTTCTTTTTTTTTTAGAGCATTTATTTTTTTATTGATTGATTTTTAGAGAGAGAGAAATATCAATGTGTTGTTCCAGTTACTGATACACTCACTGATGGCTTCGTGTATGTGCCCTGACTGGGGATCGAACCCGCAGCCTTGGTGTATTGGGATGATGCTCTAACCAACTAAGTTACCCAGCCAGGGCCCAACATTTACTTCCATGTCATGAGGTTTTTAGAACAAAGCCTTGGATGTTTTTCTTAAAATAAAAATCCATGCTGTGTGGAAGCTCATTATTACTGCAGCTGGGACACCAGATATTTATTTGGTCAGGAGCTTACTACTCAAGGCAGTAAGCTTACTACTTCCCTCAAGGAAGCTTACTACTTTCCAGAGCCAACTAGGTTCTTACCTTGGTAATAAAGAAAGAAGCAGGTCAGCAGGTAAGGGCAGAACTCCTCCAGATGAGAGCAAAAAGCACAGAAAGCCTTCGGACCCTTGCAGCAAAGTTTCCCAAGAAAAGACTCCACTCTCTTCCCATAGCAGCCCCGGGACATGACCTCGTGGTACTCGCTCAAGGAGAACACGCCCTCGTACACCAATGGCGAGAGCACCCCGCTCACGTTGAATTCCCTCAGTATCTTCTCTTTGTAAGTCCCGGGTATTTCCGCGAGCTGCCTGCGCCTCTTCTTCTTCTCTCTCTGAGCCGCGGACTCACAGCTGTAGAACCACGACCCGGCCGCTCTCTCCACCATCTCTGCTGGTGGAGAGACGGAGACGTGAGCTCTCCCCGCTGGGCACTGCTCCGGGGCTCGGTCTGCGCCACATGGACACCTGGAGGCGGACTCACTGCCCTCTGGAATGACTACAGATCTGCAGGGAGAGGGAGGGCCTGGGATTAGACCTGAGGTGCTGACCGTCGCGGCCTAAGAGGATTGCGCTGTATTCCTTAGTCCCTCGCGGCAGTTAGATTCAAAAGACAAAGGAGAGAGGCAAGCTGTTGAAATTCTCCCTCCGATTCCCAGACGATCATTGTCCCAGGCTCCTCCTTGCCTTCCCCCAAATGATGGTTTTCGATGTTATGCACGCAGCACACACAGAGTCTGTACTGAGTGGTGTCATCATAGTGCTGGGGTCTGTACAGTGTCAGGCTGTGTCTCTCTTCCTGCTACCGTAGTTTGGGTTGAGAGACAGCCTTGGGGGAAAGCCAGGGAGGGTAGAAGTAGCCAAAGCCTGGGGTGGCAAAATAATGTTTAGGTTGTGTGTTTTTTTAAGATTTTATTTATTTATTTTTAGAGAGGGGAAGGGAGGGAGAAAGAGAGGGAAACATCAATGTGTGGTTGCCACGTGCGCGCGCCCTACTGGGGACCTGGCCTGCAACCCAGGCACGTGCCCTGCCTGGGAATCCAACCAGCGGCCCTTTGGTTCCAAGGCTGATGCTCAATCCACTGAGCCATACCAGCCAGGCATTTATTTATTTTTAGAGAGAAGAGAAGAGAGGGCAAAAGTAAGGGAGAGAAACATCACTGTGAGAGAGAAACATCGATTAGTTGCCTCTTGTATGCACCCAGCCCAAGGACTGATACCCGCACCCCAGGCATATGTCCTGACTGGGAATTGAACGGGTGACCCTTTACTTTGTGGGAGGGCTCCCAACCCACTGACCCACACTAGTCAGGGCCAGTGTTGGTTACGTGATTCAGCTGCCTACCTGACCCCTCTCCTCCGATCAGGCCCTGGTGTCCACTTAATGAAGCAGATTAGAGGGAAGGATTATTGCTGGCTGGGGGGGGGGGGTGGGGCCTCTGCCACAAGCAATGCCTCACTGTGGATCACGTGACTATAACATGATACCTCCAAGCCAGCCTCCACGGCCACCTGCCTGAGACGTCCCAGGCCTTGGAGTAACCTCAGGACACTCCACGGCTGGATCTGCAGGTGACCAGCCCTGTGCCCCAGACACCCTCTGTCCTGTTTCTCTCCAGGTGCCCATGTGAGTGACTGATGGCATCAGGGTCCTTCTGCCACCCACACCATACATGTCTTCTTTCTGGGAGGCACCCTGAGATCGATCATGTGTGGGTAGACAGGAATGGTTTAACGAAGCCCACGTATGTCTTACTTTTTCCCAGTTAGGAAATTAACAAAAAGATCTGTGGCTATTGAAATACTCTTGCCCGCTGGCAAGAGTATTGTTGGCAAGAGTATCTAATTGTTATAGAAACAATTAGATATTTTCCTACCACCTTAGGGTAGAAATTTTATTCTTCAGAAATCAAAACTCCCTTGGGGTGGTCGGGTGGCCAGAACCGGGAGAGAAGACTTTTCCTGCCTCTGCTTCTGACTTTGCGTGAGAGGGTGAGAACATAGCTTTAGACCACCGTAGTCCATGAAGGTTTGACATCTGGGGGCCAATTCTGGAGACAGCAGAGGACTCACCTGCAAGCGTGACTTTCCCACGCAAACCAGGCAATCCAGGGCCGATCCCCCAACCATCTCCTCCATCAGGGTCTCACATTCCAGGCCACCATCCCTCTGCCCGAATCACCCCACTGTCAGGCACGAGACAGCCAGGGACAGCCCCTAGACCCCCAGAGCCTGCCAAAATGCAAACTAGCTGACCCTAAGCCTGCTTACCCTGCCTTGCCTGATTCTCACTATGGAAACTGAAATGAAGGCTTAAACGTGTTTTCCTCTCACTTCCTGGGCCCCCTCCTCTTGGGAACTGGGAATAACAATCTTTATATTGGCAGAGGTTGCCCCATCTGTTGGCGTCAACATATGTGCAGAGCAATAAACCTACATTGTAGAACATCCATTGAAAGCTCACCCCTCGGGCAGGTCTGTGACGATATTGTGAAGCACTTTGAACCTCATGAAAAACTGGACGGGCAGTCCCAGAATCCCTACTGCTTCCCTCTGCACCAGCCCTGCAGGTCTTTGGGCCGAGCATCGAAAATTCTGAGGGAAATAGTGTCACCTAGTGGTGTTTTGCAATATTTCAGGCCATGTTTTTTCTATTCTTTTTCTTTTTTTTTTTTTTTAAAGATTTTTTTAAATTTCTTTTTTTAGAGAGAGGAAGGGAGAAGTATCGATGCATGAAAGATATATCCATTGGTTGCCTCTCATACTCCCCCAACTGGGGACCCACCTACAACCCAGACACGTGCCCCAACTGAGAATCAAACCGGTGACCCTTTGGTTCACAAGCCAGCACTCAGTCCACTGAGCCACACCAGCCAGGGCTCTTTTTTTTTTTTTTTATAGACATTTTCAGAGCAGTTTTAGGTTCACAGCAAAGTTGAGCAGAATGCACAGCAAGTCCTCAAATAATGTCATTTCATTCAATGTCATTTTTCCACAATGTTGATGAGATGCCATAGGAACCAAACTCTTCTTTGTACCAAGTAGCCTATGGTAAAGCTGGTTTTGTTATACCCCTAATGCCATGGTTAACATTATTATGCAAGGGGGGAAAAGCCAAACAAAAGAAGTAATTCTATATGATTTCATTTTCAGAAATCTCTAGAATATGAAAACTAACTCATAGTGATGGGAAGCAGACCAGTGGTTGTTTGTGGGTTGGAGGTGGAGGCCCAAGAAAGACAAACTGCCAAGGAGCCAGAGGAAAATTGGGGGGCACCTAATTGCGGTCCCCTGACCCCACTTAGTATTGTCCCCTGACAATACAAAGGTCACCGCAGAATGGGAGGAGTAGAAATCAGGTGGCAGAAGGCTGAGAAGTAACTGAGTCTGTGTAACTGTCCAGAAGCTTACCCGGGAAGGGTGTGAGAAAGAGTGGTTTTAGTGCCATACTTGCTGGAACATCCTCCTGAGAGCTGTTTATGATTCCGGTTCCCTTCATGCAAATAACTTTGGAACTCTGAAGGCATTTATTAACTATACCGCATCACACAACACATCCAATTCTATTTTACCAAGGCTGAAATGTACCATCATTTAAGTTGCAATGACACTGGCCTCAGCTATTCTGAGTTTGAATCTCAGCTCTGTCAGGTGGTGGCTGTGTGACTTTTGACCAGTCGCTTAGCCTCTCTGTGCTCCAGTGTTTTCATCTATAAATAGGTGTAAGAGTATCTCCTATTACAAGTATTAGAGTTAATATTTGTAAAGAGCTTGGAACAGTCTACATTTTGCCATATTCTAACCCCTAAGAATGTTAATAAAATCAGCTTTCATTCCCACTACAGGAAGATTTGTGCTCAAGATTATGAGGGTTACCAAAGACATATGTGGGTGGCATTTGCCCTAGCCTCGAGGAACACTATAGCAACTGCCGGTCAGATTTAAAATTTTGTCAAGTTCTTCTACGCAGCCTCCAGCCTCTGTTCTTGGTCAGCCCCGGCATGAATGCCAAGGAGGCTGATTCTCAGCAGCCACTTTTACAAACGTTGATATAAGTTGCAAGAATAGTAAAAGCCAGACTTCTGGAGGGTTAAGACAGGAGCCATACTGCGAAGGGGAGACGTATGATTTTCACAAGATTCTGGAGGATTTTTGTTTCAGCCGAGGAATGGCGACAAGCTCATAGCCCCGAAAATACTTTGAGCTTACTCAGGCCCCTCACCACTCTCCTGGCCGAAGCCACCGCGGGATCCCGCACTTGGTGGACCCTACTACTGCAGTGCCCCCAGCCTCGGCCCCGCCCCTGCAGTGTACTGACCCTGTCGCCCCGCCTCCTCAGTGTCCATTGCCCCGCCCCCTGCAGTATACAAACCCAGCCCCGCCTTTCTATAGCCCCGCCCCTGCCGTGTACGTAACCCCGGCCACGCTTCTCCCCGCGGCCAGCTCCCTGAAGTCCGGCCCCAATAGCTGCCCTGCCCTACCGGTGGCCGCTGCCGGTACCTACCACCCAGCGCAGCGTTGCTGCACAAGGGAGGCGGGTGCCATGGCGGCTGAGGCCCTGACGGCGGAGACGGTGGCTTTGCGCCTGCAGCGGCAGGAGGAGGACATCACCTGGCTGTGGGAGGAGGTCCTGCGCCTGAGGGAAGAGCTGTTGAGCGCGCCCGACCGGTGCCAGGCCGAGGGGCCACGTCTCACGCGGGAGGTGGCGCAGCTCCGGGCCGAGAACCGCGACTTGCGCTATCGCCTGTGCCGCCTGCGGGTGTGCCTTGCCGAAGCACTGAGCCACCAGGTGCAGCTGGAGAGGGCGACGCGAGCGGGGGCGCAGGACGAGGCCGGGAGCACGACTCCCGGAGCGCAGGTAGCGGGGCTTGGGGACTCCTTGCGAGCGACTCGGTGGGGCGCCACCTAGGCCTCGGGAGGCGCCGCGACCCTCGAGGTGCCCGCACCGCGTTTTTCTCTGGAATGGCAGGTGCAGGTGCGGGCGGCGACCCAGGGGTATGCGGGGCCCGGTCCCGCCCAGACTCTGCGGGTGTGCCCTGCTCTCAGTTCAGGTTCCCTCCTGCGGAACCGCGAGTAGCTTGGACACCACGGAGTCCCTGCCTTTGCAGCAATCGCCAGATTGACCTCATGGTGCACCTGCTCAGCTTTTCCATTAAATTGCTGCCACACGTTTTCTTCAGTAGCAGAAATAGCATCGGGGGGGGGGGGGGAAGCTGGCGCGTGTAAAGCTCTGTTCTTTCCTTGGGCAGGAAGACCGAAAGCTGCATAGGTGAACATTCCCTCTAATGGTGGCAGGTCTGAGCTATTTAGGACAGGTGGTTCTTGGGGTTTGGTGTTGAGATCTGTATATTTAACATCATTATTTAATACGCGATCTTACTATTTTAGTTCATTGAAGGATACGTTATCTTCCTGTAACGTGATACATTTCTTAAGTTCTGAAGGCTTTTTTAGACCATGGGATCTTTTTCAGTCCTTTACCAAGGAAAACCACGGTACCAAAAAATTATGAAATAATGTGATTGAAGTCTCTGGTGGCAGCTACAGAACCATTTTCCAGGGACTTTAAAATACATTAAATATGTTAAAATGTGTTGCCTGTTCTGAGCAAGAATATATGAAAATGCACAGACAGGAAGGGCCAAACCTCAGAAAACACCTTGCCCGTTGAGGGTTATAGGTGGTTCTCAGGACACCCCAGCTATGAGCCGGTTCTCAGGACACCCCAGCTATGAGCCGGTTCTCAGGATACCCCAGCTGTGAGCCTCTAAACCGGGGGCACTTGCTGCCCACTGGCATGTCTCCCTCCAGACGTGTTGCTGTGTCTTGTCATTGGTATGAGTCGTTTACAATTTCCCTTTATTTCTCAGCCTCTTTCTAGTCAAAACCAAGAAAAGGACATTAAAAAGAAGAAAGAAAAGGAATCTGACAGTGAGGTAAGTTGTTGCTATGAAAATAATGTAAAAGACCACGTGTCATTGAAATATGCTCATACAGTTAATACCTCGCGTTTTCCTATTAAAAAACATAATTACTAATCAAATTGCCATTTGGGGCACAGTAGTGTATTTAAAACTTTGCATTCCTTCGATTTAAGAAGTCTTTACTTAGAGATGAGCTAATCGTGCAGCTCCTTAGTCTGTGTATGTTGAGATAGTAGAGCTCTCTCTTTGTTTTAAATAAACTGGCATTTGTTAGGCGTGAAGGAGGACTGCGTAGCCTTAAAGGGCTCAGTCTGGTTGAGGAGTTCAGGCAAAAGCAGGCGGAACAGTTAGAGAACAAGATCAGCTGGGGTATAAATAAGCACTGAATTATGTGACTCCTCATCCATGTGTATTAAACACGTGGAAAAGGGAGATGTTAGCGGGTGCAGTAGTTAGTGGGCCTGGGCTTGGAGCGGGACTCTGAGAGCTGAGAAGGAGGTAAGAGGAGCCTTCTGGGGGAGAGCAGGATTGGAGGGATAGTAGAGACTGGCACCGGTGACGACCTATGGCATGCTGAGAAGGGGGCGGGACTTAGGTAATACTGAGCAGTTGGAATAAGTGTGCACTGCATGTTAACCTAACCTCCGCGTCCGCTAATCATTTTCAGGTGAAAGATCAACCGAATTTCATAAAGGAACGGTTGAAGCTTTTTGAAATATTGCAGAAAGATCATATTGAAAAAAAGGGGGACACAAGCAATGGGATCACAGTAAGAGTGGCTGATGGGAAAACAGTGGAAGGAGAACTCTGGAAAACAACGCCTTATCAAGTGGCCGCTGCTATTAGGTAAACTATAGTCTGGAGAAGTTATTAGTATTGAGTATTGTGCCAGGGCTTGTTGAAAACGTGTTCTTGGGAGCCACTCAAATCTTTTTTTCTTACTCACTGACTAGATCAGATAAAATCGGTTATTTTTTTTACCCTTTCTGGCTTCTAATGAGGCCATTTAAGTGAGTACTCAAATATCAGAATACAGTCTCATCCTCTTAGAACATCCAAATTGGAAAGTTTTCATAAAAGCATAAAGTTGAGAAAAATGTAGAATCTGTCACATGCTGCATTACATTGACTTGGTTCCTTGCCGAGGTTTGAGTTTTTGCAGGTTTTTAGCTGGACTAGGGGTCAGGAGACTTAACTCGAGCCAGGGATCCACCCATAGTTGACCTTGGATAGCTCCATGGACCAACTTGGGCAGGTCCTGAAAGCTTCGCAAGCCTGTTTTCTTGCATCTTCAGTGGCAATAATAATACTTTCCCCATTTACTTTATGAGGTTGTAAATAGTAAAGGGTATATATGAAAATACTCTAAAAACTAAAGTATCTCTAGAAATTTACAAAAGGCTTATTAATTGTAGATTGAAGATGTTTGTGTTAGGGCTATTATCAGCCTGAATAAGTACTTTGACCTTCCTGGAATTTAAATGTACTAGTGAAGGTGTGTTGTTTTGATTAATGTTAATTTCTAGTGTTGAATACAGTTCTACAGAAGCTGTGGCTCAAAACTGCCATGTAAATAAATGCCTGCTATTTTAACAGCAAACTTTGCATCAGTGGAAATGCTTTGATTTTCTTTGAAAGCCATGGTTAAGATTGTATTTCTTTTTTAAAAAATTTATTTATTTTTAGAGAGAAAAAGGAAGGGAGGGAGAAAGGGAAAGAAACATCAATGTGTGGTTGCCTCTCACGTGGCCCCCACTGGAGGACTCGGCCTGCAACCCAGGCATGTGCCGTTACTGGGAATCGAACCGACAACCCTTTGGTTCGCAGCCCACACTCAATCCCCTGAACTACACCAGCCGGGGATAAGATTATATTTCTTTTTTAGCCTATCATATCATTTACGCTGAAGGCCTCTCCCAGCCTATTGCCATATTTTCCAGGAAAGATGGATCGATGTGGTAGAGAAAAATGCGTTTTGAGGCAAAAATAATTTTATGTGTACTGATAAAGAGTCAGGTTGCAAGTCCTACGGAGGGATTTCAGGAGTGTCTAAAAAATAACACTGTCCATGATCAAAGAGTGGGCAAAGCAGTGGTCATCATTTTACTCTCAGCAAAATTCCGGACCAGAATCATAGAATGGGATATCAAGGCTTATTTTAAGAATAGAGAGCATTACAATCCACCCTGATTATTTGTCATGAACCTTTATGAATTAAACAGTGTAGCATCAGATAAGAAACCCAGAGTCATAGACTTTATTGTACTTTTCCGAGTGGACAGATCAAACAGGCCAAACTTAAAAGATTATGCGTGTTTGATCAATAACACTGTAGAATAGACTTGGGGACCACTCACCGGTGGTCTCTGACTTGGGGTGGTCACCCCAAGATCTCTGTGCTCTGCAGGTAGAGATGGTACTTATCTCTCAGCTCCTATGGTCAGGCTTTCCACTCCTCAGAATCTTTTTTTTTTTTTTAGATTTTATTTATTTATTTTAGAGGGGAAGGGAAAGAGAGAGGGAGAGAATATTCCTCTGGTTCCCAGGCCTGTGCTCAATTCACTGAGCTATACCATCCAGGGTGCTCCTCAGAATCTTAATCAAATGCAGAAACATACAGTTCACATCCTATGAGGAAAATGAAATCAGGCACGTACTCAATAACCAGATAAAACAACAGCAAAGCAGAGTAAAACTTGGACATTGAAAAAAACCTCTTCAAAATAACTCAGGTGGAAGGAAATAAAAACAAGCACAGAATTCTTAAGAAATACTTCTAATGAGGAGAATACATGTCCAGACATATGGACTGTATCCAAAATGGTCATCAGACACAGATTTGTAGTGCAGAAGGCTTTTATTTTAGAATAAGAAAGACCAAAAAGAAATCAACTAAGAATTCAACTCAGAAAAAGAACAATTAAGGAGGAAACTCTAGGGAACAGTATTAACTGAAAAACGAGTGGAAGAAATAAGGATCCAGTGTGGTGGCTGGATATAAAATAAAGTTTAGAAATAATAGCTTTATTCAAGTTTGCTGCTTGCCCTTTTGGTTAACTGAGAGTTGGTTGCACAGGTCATTAATTATCCATGCTCTGGGGGCACGAAAGCGGTGCCAAGCATAACACAAGAGGTGGGAACCCCCTAGCTAAGGTTTGTCTGTGTCTAGGAGGGAAGCTGGGTGCCACCCAGGGACTCACCAGCAGGCAGGAGGAAGAGCCGCTGAGGGACGATGATGCTTTGAGGCCAAGGCCCCATAGCGGTGCCCTTGAATTTCCACTTCCATGCTGTTAGCTCACCTTTAGTCACGTGGCCACCCGTAGCTGCCGGAGAGAATGGTAATGTGGCTCCTGCTGGGTGGCCAGCCACGTGTTCAGCTAAAGCATCGTCACCGTGGAAGAGGGGAAGGGTGGTTTAGGGGACCCCCTCCGCCGCACTGTGCCCCTCCGACATCCAGAGACCTGTGAGCACACGTCTTTCCTCATCCCAAGCCCTCACTCCCCGGCCAAGTGAGGCAAACAACTCCAGGTCCCACCAGCCGAAAGCCCTGACTTTCCAAGTGATGTGCACAGCGCCCCCATCAGGCTGGCTCCTTGTACTTCGGCAACAAATGCACTAACAGAAGGCTGCCCACGCCACACGTGTATGTACAGTGCTGGAACAGTCACAAGGCAATCACCATGAAAGTGTCTCTTTGGGAAAAAGAAGGGGCAGTGCAGCAGACAGTGGTGTGCAGAAGCCATCGGGTCCTCCTGGCAGTGACCGTGATGCCCCAGCCTGGCAGTAGGTAGCACCTGTGTCAGTGCAGCCACCTGGCCGCTCTTTGTTCTGTGGGAGCAGCGCTCCTGTCCAGTCCCCATGGGTCCTGCTTTTGCTCTTTGCAAGGTTCCTAGCTGTGCCTAACACTTGACTGCCACACCTGTGGGGCAGTCTGTCCACCCGGAGGCTGCATGGTTTGCATAGCCCCATTCCTGCTGGTGCATTCCTGGGGGCTGAGGCCCCTTTAAGGATCAAGCAATCCGAGGCACAATAAGCTGGGCTTGTAGCTTGTCTGGCCACACAGTTCTCATGAGGAGTTAACCGTAGTAGGCTTCTGGTCTGGTGGCTTCTGATCAGTTCCAGGGAAGGAAATCTCACATAAAGAGTTTTCCTAGACAAAGACTCCTCTCCCTTTCATTCCCTGGCTTTTGTACTTGGCTCATTCCTCTCTCCCTTTCTCTCTGTAATGGACGGAGATCATAGGAAATAAGAGGCTGTGGGAGGACGGGACCCTCACTCTGATCCTTGTAGTCGGACCAGCCCTATTATCTTGCTCCGTGCAGGGCCTTTGAGAAGGGCTGTCAGTGCCTGTCCCTCCTGCTGTCTGGGACCGAAGACTGTTCTTCCAGCCTCTTACAGCTTCTCATTTCTGCATTTTTACTTTGGATGATCGGTCATAGGCGGAGGGCGCCTCCCTTGTGGAAGCCCCATCCCTTCCATCTCTGCTCACATACTGAGCAAGTCTCGCCTGAGCCTGCCTCATTTGGGTGGTATTTTGCTAAGAGCCACAGTAGTTACCCAGTGTGCGCCAGCATCCCAGTGTGTTCCTGCCTCTCCACGGCTGCCTCCTTGTGTGCGGGGGCTATGTACGCATATCAGTTTGCGTGCGGCTTTGGTCCAGTAGTTTGTGAGGCCGTAGCCACGGTTATTGGTTATTGGCTGTCCACATCTTCACATCTCTGTCCTGAAAACCCACCCCCAGTCTGCTAGGCCAGGGCACAGGTTTTGTTTCTGTCACTCACCCCCAGGTCCTTATTTCTGTATTGGTGAACATACAGGCTAAGCTGCTGCATCAGAGTCCCCCGAAACTCAGGGCTTAACTGTGGTCGAAGTCCCTCCATAGCTGTCTGGAGGTGCGGGGTCAGGGTTGTCGGGACCACACTTGTCCTTACCATCTGAGGACCTGCACTTCTCCCGTCTGGTCGCGGAGCCGCCCAATACAGCGCTGCCCTTGTCTGCGTGGTCCAAAGGGAAGAGCGCGTGCGTTCCCGGCTCCAGAAGGCGGCAGGAGGTTGAGCTGCCCTCCGTTGGCTTAGGGCTGAGACCCAGAAGTGACGCACGCCCCTGCTGCCATATCCATCACCTCCAGACACGGTCATACAGCCACGTGTCACTGCAAGGAGACCCCCTTCCTGTCGGGGGAGAATGGACCTGAGGAACCCTTAGTGGTCTGTCACTCCATTAATAACAGCATCGAACATCCATTCAGTTCTTCTTGTGAATGTGCCTTATTTAGCCCTCAGAATAAAAGTGCGGGGAAGACCCGTAATCCCCATTTTACAGACGTGAAGAACAAGCCTGGAGAAGCCGAGGAAATTGTTCAGTGTTTAAACCCACCCTGGCTCGCCTTTCCTTAACCACAGCGCTACACTGCTGCTCACGTTATAGATACAGAAGAAAACGTTGCATTTGAAGATGGCCCCATTGAGTAGTGCCTAAGAGTATGAGAGCACAGAGGAAAGGTACCCTTCTTGCACTTTTCTGGGTAGGGAAATTAAGCAACATATTCTAACAAAAAGCCATTAAAAGTGCGTTTCCCTTGGCCCAGCAGTTTTACTTCTAGAATTTTTCTTGAAAAAAAAAATTAGATACTAACACGCATGTTCAAGAATGTTCACTGCAATATTATTTGTTGTTTCAAAAAGAAAAAACCCCACAAAGATGTAACCAAAATGCCCAGCAGTGGTGGGTTTATTAAGCAAGTCATCGTTCTGCAGTTATTAAGTAGCATGTTTTAGAAGTCTGTTGACTGTTAGGGAAAAGGTGACTTATTTTAAATTTAAGAAGTAGGTTCCCAAATCAACAAAAGAAAAAAGCAAACAAAATATAACCAGAGACATTGAAATTAAGAACAATCTAACAATAGCCAGAGGGGAGGGGGAGGGGACAGTGGGGACAAGGGGTTCAGGAACTACTGTAAAGGACACAGGGACAAAACCAAGGGGGAGGGAAGAAGCCAGGGAGTGAGGTGGGTTTGGTGGGGTCGGGGGGTGGGGAGTGGTGGGTAGAAAATGTAGACAACAGTAATTGAACAACAATAAAGTAATTAAAATTAAAACATAAAAAGAAAGTATGATGCAGACCCTGGCTGGCAGGGTCTGTGTGTCATGGCTGTGAGAGACATATTCACATGGAATAGAGTCCTATGGAGAAAAGGGATGGCAGGGCCGCTCTCTGAGTGAGAGAGAGGGCCCCGACCCCTGCCTGGACAGGCTTTTATTGCTTTTCTGGGTACATTACATCGAGGATAGTCTTCATTTACTATGCAGAGATTCTCTGTAGGTGATTACCTTTTACGGATAACAAAGGAAAGAATGTTGCTAATTACTCAAAGAGAAGGATGTTGCAGATCAAGGGGAAAAGTGGTTGAACTGGTTACTTACACCCTGTCCTTGGGAGGGTTAGCACAGATTTTAGGATACGCAGTAAACATTTTCTGCCTCAACTCAGAGTGGGGGAGTTTTAGCAAAAGCAAGTCTCACAGCAGCCCAGCTGCAATACAGGCCTGATTCCCCACAAGAGAACCTATCCATGGGCCTGGGTCCTGTGTGCCGGACCTCGTTCCCCACTGGCCTTTCTGAGTGGGGGACTGGGCTGCATTGATGAAAAACTGTAGAAGGACCTACGACAAGTGGACATACAGTCATTTCTGGGTGGAGGGATTGAGGATGCTTTTCTTTGTTCTTTTCGGTGCATTCCATGTTTCTTAATGGGTTAATTTTGTCCATTTTTAAACAGTGAATTTTATTTAAAAGATACACGCAAAAAAAGATTAACACCTCAATCAGAAATAGACAAAGGACATGGGCAGCTCATAAAAGTAAAACTGGCCAGTAAACACTTCCTTGAGTTAATCACATAAGTCATATTAAGACAATTTCCAACATGACATTGGCAGCAATTTAAAAAATCTGCTGAGACATGTGGCAGTGATACACTCAGATAATCGGCTCAGAAACCTTCAAAGGCACGTGCCCTTTGACCTAGCGATTCCATGTCTGTGGGCTTGTCCCAGAAAACGGTCACAGAGGCTGCAGAACTGCCCGTGCAGAGGCGCCTGTGCAGCAGTGGAAGCTTTTGTAACGAATACGCTGCTTCCTGGCTCTGCTGGAGTCTGTCTGCCAGCCCAGCTGGAAAAGAGCAGGCGCTAAAATTTCCATGGCAACTATGCTTTTTAAAAAGTGTGTAAGTGTGTAAGTGTGTGTGTGTGTGTGTGTGTGTGTGTGTGTAAAGGAGGGGTGGGATGTACCAAAATGTTATGAGTACTTATCTCTGGGTGGGAAGATGTGATCTTTGTTTTATTATCTCTCTGTTTTCCAAGTTCTCTAAGGTGAAGGCATGTTCCTCTAGTACTTAAAATAAATGTTATAAAATAAACTGATCTGTCCCAGTAGTTTGCATTGGTACTTTCTATCTGCTTAAAAATAAAAAGAAAAGAAACAAGCCCCTAGAAGTTATTTTAATCCTTTTTTTTTTTTTTTAGCAAATCATTATAGCCCAGGATAAGGTTAACTGCCCAGTGACTTTTCTCTCACTAGTCAAGAACTGGCTGAAAGCACAGTAATAGCCAAGGTCAACGGTGAATTGTGGGACTTGGACCGTCCGCTGGAAGGGGACTGCACTCTAGAGCTGCTGACTTTTGATGATGAGGAAGCTCAAGCTGTAAGTATGGGACACCCAGCAACCGAGCTTGGGCTGTTTTTGTTGTGAATAATATGTACGGAGCCCCCTTTCGGAGTCAAGTATGATGGGTTTTGTGGCCCCGTAAGGTTTAATATGTGTACATTGCTGTTCCATGGTATTTAATGTGTTTATGGACTGAATATGCACACATACATACATACCAGGTTTTTCAAGTAGCTTGTATTTATCATGCCTCAAGATAATTTTTTCCTTAAGTTAGAATGCTATATTATTAAATCAATGTATTTGAAATGGATTTAAAAAAGATTCTTAAAAACGGATCTACTTTATAGTTTAATATGTGTAGGAGAATTGAAAAAATGATCAAGACTCAAATATCCTTTGATTACTTGTCATGGTCTAAAATAGATTGCACATTTCCATGTAGATCTCTGGTACACATTGGCAGCTTCACTTGGGGTTCTCCCTTCAGGTGGTCCATTATCTGCATAAGTCTAACCTATGATTAGCTGAAGTTAAATGAACTATGATGCTTATGCTAAATTTCTTGATTTATTAATCCAAATTAGAAGAATGATGTTATCATTACTTTCTCTTTAAAACATGCAAAGCATAACCATTAATACATTATTAACAAAGCCATTTTCAAAAGCGATTCAGAAGTAGCTTATATATATTATTTAGTTTTTCCTCAGTGGTCCTTAGCAGCTGTCCCCTAACTGTATCCCAGATGTTGTCAAATGTTATCTATTCCCTCAGTCAACTGACCAGTATCCGAGGCACTGGGTGCGTGTGCTGGACCCCGTGGGGCCCCAGTGGACAAAGCATGGAGCCCCGCCTCGGGGCAGTTACCCCCGGGGGAGGAGGTAGCAAACAAGATAACAAACAACCGGGTGCTTTCAGAGAGTGGCAGTTTTTGGAGAGAGTCCAGTAGGAGCTGGAACTGGGAGCAGGGGGGACAACTACTCTGTGACCCTCTCCCGAGGGCATCAGCCAGCCTTGCGTTTGGCGGTGCCGGCCCACTCCTGGCTTACCCAGGGCGTCGCTCCGTGCCCTCCTGCCCTCACTTTAACGGTGGCTCCTGAACTTTTTGCATCTGTCAGTTGTTTGATGGCGGGGAGCGGGGGGAGGAGGAACTCTGCGAAACGTCACGTTCCAGGGAGGCGCTGGCATCTTTGGAGTTCTTTTCCTCTTTGCACTCAGTGACACCGTGAAAAATTCAGTGACATCGTGAAAAATTCAGTGACACCGTGAAAAAGAAAACACTGCTTCTCACAGGGATGCTCCAGAGGGGACACGCCAGCACGTGCCGGGCTGCCGTGACTCTGGGCACTTGGCTTCCCACTGTGGGGCTTCCATAAATACGTGTGGCCGTCAGTGACAGGGACAGTAAAGCCAGCCCCTGGTGGGCACTGTCTCCTTAAGTCCCAGGTACCCTGGCAAAGATTTAAAAAATCTGCATCTTACAGTTGAAGCCATTGGGCCACAGAATGGTTAAGTTGCTTTTCTAAGGCCCCGATGCTTCTGTGAGTGGGATTTAGCAACAGAGATTTTGTTGATGTTGCTGGATTCCGTTTTCCTGTTATGATGGGCCTGTTAACAAGCTTTTGAACATGAACCAAGTTATGAATATTGAGTGCATGTCCATAGAGAGAAACCATATAGGAAAACAAATCTAGAAAGCTCAGATCTCCAAAATGATAAATTAATGGTTTTGTAAAAGCATTTTCTGCTTTACTGAAAAATTTGTCTCTCTCATATAGCAGACTCTTAGACTTTCATTTTAAAAGATGACCGCATTTATAAAAATATTTAGTGCATAATGTATCCTATGAAAGAAGTACTTCGGCCCTCTAGATAAATTCACGTACAAAATTGCGGTAAAAAATATTCCTGTAAAATTGATAAAGACGCACACGAGAAACAAGGGGTCTTTTATAAAGTGATACAACTCTCAAGTTTTATATAGAATAGGTGTTCCCTTCTGTACTGTTCAGTGATAGGCTACATGCGGGCACATGTTCGACTTTAAACCTTCGGTGAAATCCCAGCAGCCGTCAGCGGCATGGAGCTCTGATCTGCTCAAAGAAGCAGAAGATTCGACTTGGAACTATAAACAACAAACAAACTTACGTGAGAGCTGGAGCTGCCGGTTCTGCGATGCGTGTGCAGTCGTAGGCCGTGGCCCGAGCCTGGGCACCCCCCTGTTTTCCATGACGCCCCCATCTCCTCTCCCACCCTGCCTACTTTCTCAGCCAAGTTGACAGTTAAGCAGTCCCTTCTTTTAAGATTTCTCTGTGGCAGACCTCTGGTTCTTTCTGTCTTCTTGCTGGCTTTTTCTTCTCCATCCACCTCCCAACCTTAGAAACTCCCCAGTGCTCAGCACCAGCCCCCTTCTGTCCTTCTACTCCTGTCCTGAGCTGTCACGTCCCCTCGTCAGCAGTCTCAGCTCTGCTCTCTGTGATGACACAGCCCTCCCTCTCGGGTACACTGCTGCCCGAGGGGACACAGGATATCTCCACCTAGACCTTGTATGAGACGTATCAGTTCAGGCCCTGGCTGGTGGAGCTCAGTGGATTGAGCACGGGCCTGTGAACCAGAGGATCACAGTTTTCAATTCCCTGTCAGGGCACATGCCTGGGTTGCAGCCCAGGTCCTAGCAGGGTACGCATGAGAGGCAACCATACATTGATATTTCTCTCCCTCTCTCCTTCCCTTCCCCTCTAAAGATAAATAAAATTAAAAAAAAAAAGAAGTGTCAGTTCGGTAATAAACTTTCAACCCCAGACCCAGGTGCTCAGCCTGGGATCTTGGAGGCTGCGTGTGACCACTCCCTGCTCCTCTCCGAACTGAGTCATTTCCTTTCTGCTTAAAACCCCGTACTGTGTCCTATTGCATTTAGAATAAAGTCCAAATTCTCCCCCAAGGCCCTGCACCAGTCACTGGCCCTTTCTTCCCTCTCCAGCCTTTCTCAAGTCACTGTGTCTCCTCCCCTGCGTGGTAACCCCACAGGCCTCCCCGGGGCCTGTGGGTGGGGAGCCGTCACTGCTGTCTGTCATTGCAGTGCCCTGTCCCTCTCCCCGGGACGACTCCGCTTGCAGCTGTGACTTGTCTCTTGGTCTTGTATCCCTAACACACTGTCGCACAGTGGCTATCTGGGTGTGGACAGCGCATCGAAGAGATGTGACCGATGCCGGGCAGTAGCCTGGCCCCCCGACACCTACCAAAGCAGAGGGCTCGGCCCCGAGGACCGACTGTGTGCGTGTGTCTGCAGATCACACCCCGGCCGGCCGCCCTGAGCCGGGTAGTACAGGGTCTGCTCAGTGAGCTAACTCCTGCTCCGATTTGTTTTATACAACAGCCTTCTCATCGTAATTTGTTTCCTGTCAAGGAAAAGGACTTGATTATCTTGTTCCTTTATTTATGGCATCTCTGTTTATGTGGTGACCGGTCAGTTTTAGTTTGTCCCTCAGCCATGGATTCCTTGGGGATTCAAAACCCAATCAACCTTCCGAATTTGTCGGGCTGGTGACCCGCCCTCGGACTACAGTGAATGAACTGCGTGTACCCTGTTCAGGGATCTCAGCAGCCCGGGATATTCGTTCCCCTCTGACGCCTTTTTCTGCAGTGCAGTCTCCAGAGGTCTTCAGTCACGTGTGGGCCAGCACACGGAGACCGCCACGTGGGCGCCACGCTCCGTGAATGGCAGCAGCGTTGTGCGTGAGCCGCCACTTCGGCCCTTTCTCTCTCCGCATCTGGCTCGGAGGCTGCGCCTGGCCAGAGCGGGGAACGGACGTCTGCTTTCCTCCATTACACACCAGAGACAGGCAGGCGGCTGGTCCTGGTGGCGTCGCGGGGAGGGCTCAGAGAGACAGTCTCTTCTCCGCGGGCACCCGAGGTCCATCTGTTTCCAAACAGATGCGGCCCTGTGTCCTGTTGTTTGTCCCCTTAAAAACACACTCACTGGCTAACTCGGTCTGCGAGCCCTTTCCCACGCTCTCACGCTGACAGCCGGTGGCCGTGCCCTGTGTCCTTGTCCGCAGGTGTACTGGCACTCCAGTGCCCACGTCCTCGGGGAGGCCATGGAGCTGTACTACGGAGGCCACTTGTGTTACGGCCCGCCCATCGAGAATGGATTTTATTATGACATGTCCATCGAAGACAGGTAACGCCCCTGGATACTCCCTTCTGAACGCACGTGTTTTTAGCTCCGTGGTTTATACTGGTTCCCTGTTAGTTTAGTGACTGTGTATGTTCCCTAATACGATTGTAGTTGGTTAATCAGTTTTGAAAAGCAAAATTTTAATGCGTTCAGAGTCAAGGGTAGCTTCACAAATGTTTTTTCTTTTCCTAGCAGGAAGTGATATGCTCTTTATGTAATCTGGGACTTGACAGAGTGGGGTGCTAGTGAAGACCAGAATCTCAAGGTTAACCCTGAGGAATTAGTTCCGTTTTCTCCGCTGTCCGCCCCGGGCAGACACCTCCCACGGGGGAATGTCAGGCGGGGCGGTTCATGGAGGCCTCACCTTCAGCAGATCGGACTCAGGTGCCTGGGCATCAGGCCCCTCCTTCCCCGGGTTCCTCATACGTAGCTCTTCGGGGCACCGCCCACTGCCAGAACTGAAGACTGGGGGTCCTTTCAGTCCCTCTGCTCCCCACCACCCCAGCACCCTGGCCTCAGTCCAGTTCTGCCAGCTATTTAGGAGACCCCTAACTAGTTGCCCCCACCCGCCTCTCCTTCTCTCTCCTCCTGCCTTCATGTACAGCCAGAACGTCTCTTCCCCGGACAACTACCAGTACATTTGGCCTCTCCCTTTCACCTCCACGCTGTTCAGCTCATCTCCCCACGCGAGCCTTTAGTCCTCTGTAGCTCCTCCTGACAGGCTCCCGCAGCGTCATCTCCTGTCCCCACCCTCCCAGGACTCATTCCGCAAAGCCTTGACTGCCTACTATGTGCTCTGTGCGTGGTGCTGACGATGGAGCGGTGGGCAGATCAGTGTGTGCTGGAGGAGCCTACAGCCTGGTTGGGGAGACAGTAAACCAACAGCCCCCTCCCACCAGGTGGCATGCTACGAAGGACAGTACCCCAGGGGTGGGCAGGTCCGTGTGCCGGTCCCTGTGCTGGTCCCTGTGCCGTGGCAGACAGGCGGCTGGGAAACAGGACGTGACGCTGAAACGGGGCCAGGACAGGGGAGGGAGCGAGCTCTTGAGGCTTCGGGGGGATTTTTATGGGCCTCTGGGGAGAGAACATCCCAGGGCTCTGTGAGACAGCCCGTGTGTGGAGACGTGTGTGGGGCTTGTTTGAGGAGCAGCTGGGAAGCCAGTGTGGCCGTCAGGGGTGAGCGTAAAGCAGGGGGCGAGTGAGGGAGGAAGTCAGTGGAGGCCTGGCGGGAGCTGATGGCCCCTGTGGGCGTCTGCCCCTACACCTCACCCTCACCCTCACCGAGCTGTCTCCCACCCCAGTCCCCATGGTCAGCGAGTGCGGGGACGTGGTGAGCACTGGAGACCACGCCTTTCCATTTTTACCAAATAGAACCCTGTGAAGGGTGACGAAGACGCGCAGGCCCCATTGCAGACACCGAGGGCAGATCGTTCCCTCTTCTCGTGCCCCTCGCCCTCTGGGAAATGGGAGTCCCTGCCTTCGGATGAGTGTTTTTACCTTTCTTAAGTCCTGGTGCCCCAAAACTCCAACTCCCTCCATCGTGGAAGCACGTCGATGAGGGGCAGAGGCTGTGGGGCCAGGGTCCACGCAGCGGAGCCCGCCTGGTGTCTGAGGGTCGGTGGTGATCCTCGCCCGCTCTGCGTTTCAGAGCCGTGTCCAGCACGGAGCTGTCGGCACTGGAGGCCCTCTGTCAGACGATCATCGGGGAGAAGCAGCCCTTCGAAAGGCTGGAAGTCAGCAAGGACGTCCTCCTGGAAATGTTCAAGGTCATCTCTGGGAGCTGTTTGCAATCAGGAAACCTGGGGCTGGGAATATTAAAAATAATCAACATAGACAAGTTTTTTTGCAGATAATTGGCTGTTGCACACCATATTTTTCCAAACGGTTGTCACCAGTCACTTGAAGTGTATTTTGTCGTTATTTCTTGAAATTTTCTATGCAGATGTAGGGAGGTAAAGGGCCAGATGAATAGTTTTCATATGTGTGTTCATAAATCGGGCTAATTCTGGCCATTGTTAATATTTGGACTCCTGAATTCAGTGATATTTAAATACCATATAAAGTTTTTGCTTTTTTTTCCTTGAGGATTTTCTTTTTAACTTTTCTTTTTCTTTTTTACATTTTAGTCTAGTGTAACCTGTGTAAAACTTCAACTTTTTTATATTGTTTTGACCAATGTACTTAAATATATTCTTTTTTTGTTGTTCTTTTTTTGTTTAAATATAGTCTTAATTTTATCTTTTAAATCATACATATCAGAGAAGTCACAGAATTTGAAAGCCCAGTACTGTTAGTTTTGTGAGCTTGAATTAAAAAAATAGATTTGGGCCCCGGCTGGTGTGGCTCAGTGGACTGAGTGCCAGCCTGTGAATCAAAGGGTCGCCGCTTCAACTCCCAGTCAGGGCACAGGCCTGGGTTGCCAGCCAGTCCCCAGTAGGGGGCATATGAGAGGCAACCATGCATTGAGGTTTCTCTCCCTCTCTTTCTCCTTCCCTTCCCCTCTCTCTAAAAATAAATAAACAAAATCTTTTTTTTAATTTTTTAAAATAATTTTATTGATTATGCCATTACAGTTCTATTTCCCCCCTTCATTCCCCTCCACCCTGCACACCCCCTCCCTCACCATTCCCCCCCTTCAGTTTATGACCATATGTCTCAAGTTCTTCAGAGTCTATATTTCCCATACTATTCTTGCCCTTCCCCCTATCTATTTTCTATCTACCATCTATGCTACTTATTTTCTGTACCTTCTCCCCCATTCTCCTCCCACTTCCCTGTTGCTAACCCTCCTTGAGATCTTCATTTCTATGGTTCTGCTCCTGATCTAGCTGTCCTCTTAGTTTGCTTTTGCTTTAGGTGTGGTTGTTAATAACTGTGAGTTTGTTGTCCTTTCACTGTTCATCTTTTTTATCTTCTTTTTCTTAGCTAAGTCCCTTTAACATTTCATTGAATAAGGGCTTGGTGATGTTGAACTCCTTGAATTTGGTTTTATCTGAGAAGCACTTTATCTGTCCTTCCATTCTAAATGAAAGCTTTGCTGGATAGATCAATTTTGGATATAGGTCTTTGGATTTCATGACTTGGAATACCTCTTTCCAGCCCCTTCTTGCCTATAAGGTCTCTTTTGAGAAATCCGCTGACAGTCTGATGGGAACTCCTTTGTAGGTGACTGTCCCCTTATCTCTTGCTGCTTCTAGGATTCTCTCCTTCATTTTAATCTTGGCTAATGTAATGATGATGTGCCTTGGTGTGTTCCTTCTTGGGTCCAACTTCTTTGGGACTCTCTGAGCTTCCTGGATTTCCTGGAAGTCTATTTCCTTTGCCAGATTGGGGAAGTTCTCCATTATTATTTGTTCAAATAAGTTTTCCATTCGTGGGTGTTCCTCTTCCTATAATTTGGAAGAGGTACCCCTATAATTTGGATGTTGGAGCGTTTAAAGATGTCCTGGAGGTTCCTAAGCCTCTCGTCATTTTTTTGAATTCTTGTTTCTTCATCCTTTTCTGTTTGGTCATTTTTTTCCTCTTTCTGGTCCGCTCCTTTGATTTGAGTCCCAGTTTCCTTTCCATTACTATTGGTTTCCTGTGCATTTCCCTTCATTTTAATTAGTGTAGCCTTCATATGTTCCTCTAATTTGTGACTAAAATCAACCAGTTCTGTGAGCATCCTGATCACCAGTGTTTTGAACTGTGCATCTGAAAGTCTGGCTATTTCTTCAACACTTAGATTTATCGAGTCTGGGGCTCTGAGTTGTTCTTGAGCCATGTTTTGATCTGTTCGTGCCGGTTTGGCTGAAGGGTTCATTGTTGTCAGACTTCCGTGTAGTTCAATTTTCTGTGGTTTGGCTTCATTTTTGTTGCTAAAACTTTGTTGTTTTTAAACTTGGTCGTGTGAGAAGGCGCAGTGCTTCCACCTACACCTCCATCTTGGCGGAAGTCTAATAAAGTCTTTTTTTAAATAAATAACAAATAAATAGATTTGGGGTTTGGTAAAAGCAATAGCTACTCGTGTGTGTGTGTGTGTGTGTGTGTGTGTGTGTGTGTGTGTGTGTGGTAAAAAATCCAAAATATACAATTTACCATTTTAACCAATTTTAAGTGTGCCGTTCTGTGACATTAAGTACATTGTTGTCTCACCACCTCCACCATGCACCTCCAGAGTTATTTTATGTTCCCCAACTGAGACCCTAGACCCACCAAACACTAACTTTCCATTTCCTCGCCCTCTCTGTCTCTATGAATTTTACTACTCTGAGAAGCTCATATAAGTGGAATTGTGGAATATTTGTTATTTTTGTGACTGGCTATTTTACTCAGCTCCAGGCCCTCGAGGTTCACCCACATTGTAGCACCTGTCAGAGTTTTTTTCCTTTTTTGAGGCTGAGTAATATTCCATTGGTGTGTAAGACTGCATTTCATTTATTCACTTGTTAGTGGACACCCGGGTTGCTCCCACCTTTTTCATGTTGTGAAAAACGTTGTTATGAACGTAGTGTACAATGATCTGTTCAAGTCCCTGCTTTCTGTTCCTTTGGGTATATGCCCAGATATGCAATTGTTAAATTATATACAGATTCTGTTTTCTGTTTTGGGCAAATGTCATACTGCTTGCCACAGCGCCCGCACCAGTCTGCATTCCCACCGGCAGTGCACAGGTGTTCGGTTTCTTCACCTACTTGCCAACACTTAATCTTTCTTTGTCTTTTTTTGCCTGTAGCCGCCCTAATGGGTGTGATGTACATGGTATCTCACTCTGGTTTTGCTTGGCATCTCTAATACCTAGTGATGTTCAGCATCTCTTCTTGTGCTGACTGACCATTTACATATCTTGTTTGGGGAAGTGTCTGTTCAAGCCCTTTTCCCATGTTGAGATGGGCGGTGGTTTTTTGTTGCTGAGTTGCAGTTCTTTATGTATTTTGGATATTAGTTCTATATTAGATACATGATTTGCATTTTTCCCCCATTCTCTGGGTTGACAACTAAACTCAGTCAAACCTTAGCAAAGAAAAATGTTTGGATTTGGACATACCAGTATGAAACAGTTGAGTCCTGCAAATTTATTTATTTATTTCTTTCCAACAACTACCTTTTCTAGGTAGTTATTTAATATAAGGTGCAGGCACCATGGTAATAGGGATGAAAGCAACAGAGAAAGGAAAAGTGTTAAGTGTTTAAATGGAATGATGGGATCATTTATATGAACTTTGCTTTTACACAAATTAATAATGTAGCTGTTTCTGCAGAATTGTATATATTTCATGTAGTTAAAATTGGAATCTTCTAGAACACTGCTATGCAAATAGAAATATAATGTGATCCACAAATCTGAGCCACATACATAATCTTAAATTTTCTGGTAGCCCATTTTAAAAGTAAAGAAAGGTGAAATTGATTTCTGTAACATTTTATTTAACCCAATATTATCAAAATATCACTTCAACATGTAACCCACATAAAATAACACTACAGTTCTGGGCTGTGAACTCTTCGCATCCCTGGAACTTGGCACCTAGGACAGGGTAAACACCCATTCAGTGTTTGTTGGAGAAAGTACATTTTTTCCGCTTAAACATTTTGTGTAATAATATGTAAATTTATTCTTCTTTGCAGTACAATAAATTTAAATGCCGCATTTTGAATGAGAAGGTTAACACTCCAACTACCACCATTTACAGGTAAAACGTGCATAAATGTTAAAACTGCTCAGTGTATAAATTTCTTTGAAGATGTTATTTATTTATTTTTAGAGAGGGGAAGGGAGGGAGAAAAAGAGGGAGAGAAACATCCATGTGTGGTTACCTCTCACTCGCCCCCTACTGGGGACCTGGACTGCAACTCAGGCTTGTGCCCTTGGCTGGGAATTGAACCAGAGATACTTTGGTTTTCAGGCCGGTGCTCAATACACTGAGCCCACCAACCAGGGCTCAGCGCATAAATTTTAAAACTGCTCACTCGAAGGTGTTAGTAGGACAAGCAGTTTATCTTTGGGTGGCTGTTTATTTGTAAATTTGCATATTGATATACTACTTTAGTTAGGGGCTCTGAAATGTTATCACCAATGAGAAGTTATTATTTTCTCATTTGTATTCATCAGAATGATACTGAAACCCAAATTTTGCTTTCTGAGTGTTAGCTGTCATATAGCATCTTGTTCTCTGTGGGTGAGTGAGCCAGTGTTTAGCCAGTGTCTTGCATTTTAGGGGGCTGTTAGGGAAAGACTTCCTGTTTCAGCCCCCCACATTCTCACTGAGATGGCAGTGGGAGCTGGTAGGGGCTGCCTTCCCACGCAGGGGCTCTGCCTCTTGCTATACTTAATCCCACTGCCCCACACCAAAAGCATCAACCTTCCTGCCTTAGCCGGATGTTCACAGTGAAACAAACAGGAAGTGATGGGAAGCAAAGGCGAAGCAATGATACAGAGTCAAGTGAAAGCAGCCACCGTGGCTCGGCTCTGGTAAACATTGGGCTCCTGAGCCCCTTTCTATTCATCTGCTTTTTCAGCTGCCTTAGGGTTTGCCTTCCCCCTTCTGTGAGCTCGGGCTGCGTGGTTGCTGCTGTGAGCAGAGTCCGGGGTTCGCACTGGGGTTCATTCTCCCATTGTTCATGTGGCTTTGGTGAAGTGTGTTCTTAAGGTGAGGTGTCGAGTTGATGCACTTTGTGTACATTTCAGATGACTTTGGATTTGGAAGTGAGCGTAGAGCAGGGAAATGGAGTTTTGATTATGCAACAACGGGTGGGTATGGTTTTCTTTTTCCAGAAGAATCTGTAGCTTCTGAATTTAGGCAAAGGGGAAAGACTGACCTCTGAGGCTAGATGATTTGTCAATCAATAAATCTCTTTCCTTTACAATAAATTGAAATTTAATTTAAGCTGCCCCTAAATGAAAAATTGCCCCACAATATACAATCAGGTGAAATCCTTCACTAAAACATGTAAGAATGTGGTTCACACTGCGTCATCCGAAAAACTGTAACTGTATGTGGGCATGTCTTCACTGTTCCATTATAGGTGCGGTTCTCTAATTGACCTGTGTAAAGGCCCCCACGTGAGACACACTGGGAAAATTAAAACCATAAAAATTTTCAAGGTAAGGACTTACTACTTTTAATATAGCAAACGTAAGGTGAACTAAATAGGGATTTCAATCATATCTTTTATAATATGAACATCGTGTTATTTTAAAAAACACTTTATTATTTGATTTTTACATGGGCTCCTAAAAATAATTTTTAAAAAATATTTATTTATTTATCTTTAGAGAGGAAGGGAAGGAGAGAAGGAGAGTATGGAAAACAATTTTGATAATTAGGATATTACATATAACGTTTTTAAAAATATTTTATCCAATTTATTTGCAGAGAGAGAGGAAGGGAGAAAGAGAAACATCCATGTGTGGTTGCCTCTCATGTGCCCCCTACTGGGGACCTGGCCCACAACCCAGGCATGTGCCCTGGCTGGGAATCGAACCAGCAACCCCTTAGTTCACAGGCCAGCATTCAATTCACGGAGCCACGCCAGCCAGGGCATATAGAGCCTTTGATTATCATTTAATCTGGCTTTAAGTGTTACAATGCATTTCCTTTTTATATGCTATTGTGGTTTTCTTAATCACCCTAATGTGAGCAAGAACATTTATCCGCATGTAGAACATGCACTGTAGGAAAAAAGCCAAAGCCAAAGGGCACACAGTGGCAAAACAGAGAAAACATTGCCCTAGGAATCAAGAGGCATGAGGCTGACTTGTCATCCTGACCTTGACTTTCTCCCACATACAAGAAGGCTGACGGCAGCTCAGTCGTTAACCATGGGCCGCAGCCCCGCACGGCCGAGCTTCACTTCCTGTCTGCCCTTCCGCTGCTGCTCCCCTCGTGGCCGGCACAGCTGCTGGGCAGCCTGCCCTTCTTTCCACCGTCTCTCACTCTTCGTTCCGAGAACCCACAGCAGACCCTTTCCCTAACTGACCGCTGCACTTGGACTGGGGAGGAGTCCTTAGAATCAGCTCAGGATCCTTTCCCGTGCATAAAAAGTCACCGTTAAGGAAGCTGTGTTGATGCCTTATTGGGAAATGTGAATGTATTTAAGGCTGACTTAATTGATAACAGGATGTCAGATATGCTCAGTGAGATGCGGTTTGGTGTTTAGAATTCCTCCACGTACTGGGAGGGCAATCCCGAAATGGAAACCCTGCAGCGGATCTATGGGATTTCCTTTCCCGATAACCAGAGGATGAAAACCTGGGAAAAGTTGCAAGAGGAAGCCAAGAGCCGAGATCACAGGAAAATCGGGAAGGTAGGCCGGGCGTCCCAATCCCTGCTGGGAGTCCACATGCCTTTGTTGGCTCGTGATGATGTCTCCAAACTCAGTTGTTTGAAAAATAACATTTTTTCTCCCATCTTCTATTTTACTGGCACTCATAGTTCGTTGTTGAGTTTTTCCTGCTAACACCCAGATGCCTTCTAACCTCTTTCCTTCCTGTGTCTTTTATCAGACTTAAAACATTACCCCCTTCTCTCGTTTGTGTCATGATATAAAAAAATAACGTTTTTAAGGGTTTTATTTATTTATTTTTAGAGAGGAAGGGGAGGGAGAAATAGAGGGAGAGAAACATCGATGTGTGGTCACCTCTTGCGACCCCTGCTGGGCACCTGACCCACAACCCAGGCACGTGCCGTGACTGGGGATCAAACCAGCAACCCTTTAGTTCTCAGGCCAGTGCTCAATCCACTGAGCCACACCGGCCAGGATAAATGACATCGTTTTTCGAAACGTGTGCATACTTTGAGAACATGCTGTGTATTTGGGAGGCAGAGCAGAAGGAAAGAATGAGATTTGAAAGCAGGAAGACCTGGGTTTTAACCTCAGTCCTGCCACTGCTCAGCTGTGTCCTGTGATGGGCTGACGCTCCCTGGTGGAATTCCACGTGCCTGTGTCTTGCTGAGTAGCCTGCCTGATGGATGAGAGGAGGATGCTGGAAACGGTGGCCACGTGGGCTGGGCTCTCAGTGTGCGGGGGTCGTGGTGCTGGTCACCGTTACTGAGAGTCCTCCTCCAGCAGCGGACATTTCTCATCTCTTTGTAATGTTTTCTCCCCATGAGACCCACCTTCCCAGATGCCAAGGAGGAAAGTAGCAGTGAGTGTAAGGGGAAATAAAAGCTAAGGGCAAAGCTCAGTGGCCATAAATACGAATTGCAATTTTCCACGTGCTATTACATATAGTTAGTGAGGACTTAGAAACATCATTTGTTAGGAAATGGAAACGATAGCTGAGTATACATTTTACTTGTAGCATATCTAAATATTAAACACCGACAGTGAAATTTGAAATCCAGTTCTTGTTCTCTTCTAGGATCAGGAACTTTTCTTTTTCCACGATCTGAGTCCCGGAAGCTGTTTTTTCCTGCCCAGAGGAGCCTTCATTTATAACACACTCATGGATTTCATGCGCGTAAGTCAATTGCGGAAGGATTTCATCCTTACTCAAGTGCATTCTGCATTTCCTTGTTTTCTCTTATAGTGAAATGGTCAGGGATTTCCGTTAACTTTATTTTAGTAACATTAAGAATGTTGAGCCTGACAGAGAAATACCGGATTGTGCCTTTTAGTAAAAATGTTGAGATGAATTGTATTTTCCCCAAATTAAATGCATTCTTGGATTTTGTTACATGCCTCTGTTGCGCATGTAAGTTTCTAGAGCACATACAACGCAAAGGTAAGCATTGGATAGATAAGGTGTGGGGCTCCCTGTGAGAGAGGAGAGAGGAGGGGTCCCACCCCTTGCAGCCACTGACCCTTCTCAGAGCGCGGGCCGTGGAGCGCCGCTGCTCCGGCACTGTCTGTGCCGGTGTGGCCGCCCCAGAGCAAAGAGTGAGAAGACAGCTCTGGAAAATACCAGCCTGTAGGCCAAGTTCATAGATTAGTAAGTCTCTGATAGGACTGTGCGCTGTAAATACTGTTCAGATGTGATCCGTGTGGACTACTAGGGTTCTGTGTCCTTGATTTTTAAAAAAGATTTTATTTATTTATTTTTAGAGAGAGGGGAAGGGAGGGAGGAAGAAACGTCAATCTGCGAGAGAAACGTTGATCGCCTGTCACACGCGCCCTGACCAGGGACCAAACCTGAACCCAGGGCTGTACCCTGACCAGGAATCGAACCTGAGACCTCTTGGTTTGCGAGATGATGCCCAACGCCCTGAGCCACACCATCAAGGCTGCATTTCCTTTCTCGTACTCCTCTTACCCGTCTCGCAGTCAACTGACCACCTAAAACTCTCACCGACCCCATTTTCGAAGTGCCTGTCTCTCACTCGTCCTCACCTTCCTGCCAGGACTCCTGAAACTCCTCGCAGCGTCTTCTGCTGATTTGAGTAATCTCGCAGTAAATTTTTTCCCCCAAATTTGATATTCTTGCCGCAGAATTATGTCTTAAAACGTCTTTTCGTCACCATCCTGGCTTCTCCCTCTATCCCTTTTCTGTGATGACTCTCTTCTTTCCTGGTCCCTCTTCTTGCTTCTCTCACCTGGGGAAAGGCTTTCCCCAGGAACCTCCTGGGACAAGAGCACGTGCTGGTTCCTCCCTGAGTCACTCATCTGTTCTCCTTCCCCTTCTCTTCTCGCGCAACGCCCGGGAAGCTGGGCTGTATGGACTCTCCACCCGGGCTCGTATCTTCCACAGGGGTTGGCCAATGTGGAGCCACAGTAGATCAGAGAGCAGAGTGGTGAGACTTGGAGAATCACTGAGCATCATTGGAGACTCAAGCAGGTGGTGATGATGCGCCGTCTCTGCCAGAAAGTCAACACAGCCCCAGGCACCTTGAACTCTAGGTGGGGGGCAGAGTGTGCAGAGAGCAGACAGAAGCCTCCGTTGGTGGCCTTCAAGGAGTCTCTTCTCTCTTATAGATGCAGGGCAGACATGGCTGACGGTCAGGCCCAAGGTCTGATCATGTGAGTGGCGGAGGTGTGCGGCCATTTAAGTCCACAGCCCCCAGAGTCTCTTAAGCTAAGGTAAGGGCGCAGGTAGGCAGGACAGGGCCCAGAGTCTTGGAAAGGGAATGTGCGGGAGAGATGAGGCTGATAACTCTGAACTCCCAGATACCCTTGTCTGAAAAAATTGGCCTTTCTGTGCAAAACACACACACAGACACGAACGTTGTAGAGACGTGACTGTTTCTTTCCTTGGCTTTCTGTTATATGGTCTTGCCTCTTCCATATGTAGTAATTTGTTATTAATATGCTGGGTGTTGTGTACAAAAATAACTAGAGATGCTCTCAGGTCAAAAACTGCAGGATGGTTAGCATTTAGTTCTGCTCCCCCGGGCTCTGGTTCCACCCGCTGAATCCCCTCTTCTTCTTAGAGGAGGTGGCCTGGGCGCACCCTGAGTGGCTTTCTCGGCGTTCTCAGCGCAGGGCCTCTGTGTGAATATCAGCTTCTGTTTTACTTGGGCGAACACCAAGGAGCGTGATCTCGGTGTCACAGGGTGAACTTGAGTTTCCAGGAAAATGCCATCCGCCTTCTAAACGGACCGTTCTTCCCTATTCCCACCAGCAGCGTGGAAGGGCTCCTTCGGGGAAGCTCCCCAGCCACACTGTTTCACCTGCTGGAGTCTCATCTGCCCCACGCACTGCTGCCCGGCTGGGACCATGGGGCGGAGCGGACGGTAGCTCCCCTGGTGCTTCCACTCGTAACCCACTTGGAGAGTGTTCGCCTCCTGCTCCCACACCTTTGGATTCAGTGCACTTCCAAACCGAACTTGTCTTCCCAGACATTTAGGGGACGGTCCTGACAGGTGAGCCCCAGGGTTTTAGGTTTTACTGAAAAGCGTCTGGTGAAGGAAGTATTTACAGAGGCTCGGGCCCGGTCAAGGTACCTCACAGGGGGCGGTCCTGTACCCAGGGATCACCAACGCAGGTCCGTCTCCCCCTCGGCCAGAGGAGGTGAGAAAGAGTCATGTTGCCGGAACCCAGGGAGAGCTTGAAGCCGCGGGAGAGGCCAGTCAACAGAAACTGCAAGAGCTCACAGCGCAGGACAGAATAAACCCAAAGCGAGGAAGGAGTAAATATCCTGACTTCTCTCTTCTGCCCCCCTCTGGATGCTTTTAGAACCTCTCACTGGTCAAACACAACCAGAGGTCAGAGGGCAGGGAAGCTTGGCAGTATCATCCGTAGAAAGCATCTTGTGGGGACGCAGAGCAGGGCACAGAGGACAGAAAAGTAGGACAGTACGCGGCAGGACAGGAGGTGGCCAATGAGAGGAACCAGCACATCCCACCCCTTTGGTTACTCAGTCAGCTTTTGTCCTTTGCTTGGAGGAAGACGTGTTTGTTCACCCAAAGTCCCGTCAGTGTGTCACCATGTGGGGTGAGGTCAGCTCAATGCCATCGGAAACCTAAGTTGTGACATTAGCCACCACCGTGCTCTTCGTCTCAGAGGCAGGGAAGAATATTTAATGCAGCGGGTCCGGCCCCCGCCTGTGGAAATGGATGCGAGTGGGCAAATCAGCGCCGCCGCCTCCCACCACCCACTCCACCTGCCCCTCTCCCTGCCGGCACCTTGGACGGACAGGGCTTTCCTTGGCGGGTCCGCTAGTTTCCCGGGCTGTCTAACAAAGTAATAGTACAACTGAGTGGTCCCGCGCCGGGGAGGTATTGTTTTGCAGTTCTACGGGCCAGACGTGGGGAATGAAGAGCCACGCCCCGTCTGAAACCGGGGAGGGAATCGCTTCCTCTTTGCACTTTTCTTGAGAGGGGTGGGAGGTCAGCCGCGGTCGGTGCACCCTGGCTTGTCAGGGCCTCGCTCCGGGCTTCTGCCGTCACACGGCCTTCTCCCCTGGTGTCTTCACAGCATCTTCCCTCCACATGTGTCGTCTGTCTGTCTGTCTCTCTCCAAATTTCCTCTTTCTGTAGAGACACTGGTCCCCATGGAGCGAGACCTGTCTAACGACCTTCTCTTAACTCGGTCACCTCGCCAAAGCCTCTGTTTGCAAGCAAGGCCCCATTCTGAGGACCTGGGGGCTGGGACCCCAGCCTGTCTTTCTGGGGGGATACGATTCAACCCACATCTTCTTCCCAAAGGATCCAAGTGCTCAATGATCCTGCCTGGTGGGGTTGCGGGGGTCCATGGAAATGCCTGAGCCCCGCCCCCCCATTCCGGACGGGTCCGCGTCACTCCATTGTAACAGCGAACTGTCTTCCCTGTAACTGGGGTCAGGTATCCTGGCCAGGAGCGGAAGTCATTCTCTGCCTGTTGGTTCGGTAGCGTAGGGGTCCCCAGCCCCACATGGGCTCAGCTTCCACCAGAGGTATGTCTGGTTTTTGTTGCTGTTCGTTTGTTTGTAAAAGCATTCTTTCCTTGGTCACCAAGGCACATTATGACAGATTCCAAAGCTTTAGAGATAAAGAAAATATTCTAATAGTTTCCTGAGAAACCAAAGACATGGTACTGGGTATCAGAATGGCAATGAAATTTCCAGTGAAAACACTAAAAAATAGAAGACAGGACCAGTGCCTTAAAAATGCGGGCCCTAGAAACTGCCAGCCAGCGTTGGCCGTTTCCCCATCCGCCCTTCAGTCCCAGCTTTCCCAGCTCTGCCGAGGCAGCGGGTCTGCTTTCCAAATTCCGAGTATGTCGCCTTCCTCTCCTCTGCTTTCTCTTTGGTCCTGTAGACTTAGGCTTTTATAAATATTTCCATTACTAATTTCCAAAGAATTCAAGCATCCTATACTGTGTACTGTTGCACAGTGTAAAATAAATATACTTAATGCGAATGTTCTACTGAGCATACATTAATCCTTCTTTCCCGATGCTGGAAGTACCTGAACCTGAGGGCACGGTCATCATAAATGGATAGGAAATCGCCCTGAGTTTCAAACACCGGCTCACGGCGTGACTCCCTGGCTTGGTGGTCTGCCCTGGCAGGTGTGGTGAACTTCAAGTGCGTTCTCTTGCAGGAGGAGTATCACCGCCGTCACTTCACGGAAGTGCTGTCCCCCACCATGTACAACAGCAAGCTCTGGGAAGTCTCGGGCCACTGGCAGCATTACAGCGAGAACATGTTCGCCTTCGACGTGGAGAAAGACACCTTCGCCCTGAAGCCCATGAACTGCCCAGGACACTGGTGAGCACTGAACGTCACGCAGACCGTTGCACGGGAGCACGGCGCCCGCTCCGTCACAACGAACTTGCAGTGTTGTTACGTGTTTTGGCTTGGGGAGTTGAGCGATTCCTGTAACTTGAAGGATGTTGGTTACTAGTCATCTTTGCCAAGTTATTTCACTCTGGAGAGTGAGTTTACAGTTTAAGAAGTGATTGATCTTTGGCAGGTGTGCGATGTTAGCTGGCAACCATTTAATTTTTTGTGCTCCTTAGAGATAATATTATGTACCAATCCTTTTTTTGTTTTAAGTTTTTCTTATTGATTTATTTTTAGAGAGAGGAGAAGGGAGAGAGAAAGAGGAGAGAAACATCATTGTATGGTTGCCCCTCACATGCCTCCTACTGGTGACTTAGCCCAAAACTCAGGCATGTGCCCTGACTGGGAATCGAACCAGTAACCCTTTGGTTTGCAGTCCAGTGCTCAATCCACAATCTACTAAGCCACACCCGCAGGACTATGTATGAATTTTTATAAATTATTACAGTATTCCTCTTCATAGTCATAACACACTTCAAATACACACATTTGCCGAATATTTTGTTCTTACATGATGTTTGGATTGATTATAATAAGACCAGTGAGGTTGTAATGAATGGGCAACTGGGTTTCATTGAATCCAGATAACTTTTCCTCCCACATTTCAACATGTTTGAAATTGAGATGCACCTACAACTGGAACATCCTAGCACTATGTCGTAATTGAATGAATGCGTTATTTTTACTGTTAGTGGTACATAAAGTAATGGCACATCTTTCACTCAGCATTGTCTTAGACTCTGTGCAAGAATGTAATTATCATAAAGTTGGTATGCAAATGAAGCTTATATGACAAGCCAGTTCTACGGCCGGGCGTGAACAGACACAATTCTCCACACCAGACACAAACCTCAGTTAGTATAGCTTTGCATCATCGACATACATACTTTCAAGTAAGTTGACTTTAGAAGGTACCTGTTAAAACAAACCTCTGAACACTGAAGAAAACTTTGTCCTTTTGAGTAAATGCTGAAAGAAGTTTAGCTTTATGCTGGCAGCATGTAAACAATATATATACGTACCTTTAGTTGCATGAAAACTGGCAGGTAAACAGTCTATAGCCTCTCTTTTTAAACAGAAGATGCAGGTCTGCCCAGCGCTTTGCATCCTCTAAAACACGCGTGAACTCAGTTTCCCACGAGGCACCATTTGCAGCTGTATCCTGTGATCTCAGCCCTAATTATGAGGAAGGCTGAGGGGAAGAAGAGAACCTAACTGTGTATTTTTATGCCTCCGAATAAGAAAGTCAGACGCCAGTGGCTTAGTGGGGAGTGGGCACAGGAGCCGCCAGAGTGCTTTCTGCAGAAGAGAAGCCATGAACTTGACAGAGAGCATTAGCCACAGTGCTTGGTGCTAGAAACACAGAGGGGACTAAGGCAGCCCACTTCCTCAGGGAGCAGAGCGGGGCAGGGACAGGTATATAGAGAGCCAGTTTTTAAAAAGTAAGACCGGTGTCAAAGTAGTGACCAGTTCCAGGTCCCCTTGGAACTTGAGGGAAGCCTAGCCAGCCCTGTCTGGGGAAGGCTTCATGCACGAAGTAGCCTTTGAAATGAATTGTAGAGGGTGAGTGGAAATTCAACGGGGGAATGGCAGTAGGGATTTCTGGTTCTTAGGACACTGTAGTGATGCAAGTTCAAAGGTCAGTAATTCATTGGAGAAGAAATGTTCTTAAAACTTGTGATCAGGGTAAAGGGTTTACAAATCTTGAGGTGTGACTGTAATTTGTTAATATTTTTACATAGTTACTTAATCTTTCGCATGCTGAGTGAAAGCTGTGTGTTTATTGCCTCTTCTCTAGCCTGATGTTTGCCCATCGTCCGCGGTCTTGGAGGGAAATGCCTGTTAGGTTTGCCGATTTTGGAGTTCTTCACAGGAACGAACTGTCGGGAACTCTAAGTGGCTTGACCCGAGTCCGACGCTTCCAGCAGGATGACGCGCACATCTTCTGCACGGTGGAGCAGGTGAACGGCCGTTTGGTGCTGGGAGGCGTGGTCAGCACAGATTTTCCGTGTCTTGCTTCGGTCTCCGAGTCCTACAGCATCTCTCGGTCTCTCAGAGTCGCTGTGGAATAAGTTCGGTCTAGTCTCTGAGGCCTCGTCCAGCTCCGCCACTCTGTCCCTCTCTAACTTGGATCCAGAGATTCGTTATCTCTTCGCGTGACATTCATTACTGTTTCTCTTAAAGCTTACTCCTGTTTTATTCACTTAAATACATTAAGTCTAATATCTCAAGAACTTTGGATGTTTTTGTTTTTCAATATTGTGTAGAAGTTAGACTTTATTTTTTTTTGCATGTTTTCATGTTAATTCAAATTTAAAATGTCACGTGAAGGGCCACTATCCAACAATTTGACATAATCGGCTATTATAGAATGCTCCAACCAATAACTGAGTACACATGCTTTGAATGTGCACAGAGAACAGTTACCAAGATAGACAATATTCTGCCCTGACTGGTGTAGCTCAGTGGATTGAGCGCAGGCCTGCGAACCAAACAACTGCCGTTCGATTCCCTGTCAGGGCACATGCCCGGGTCACAGGCCAAGTTCTCTGCGGGGGATGCATGAGAGGCAACCATACATTGATATTTCTCTCCTTCCCTTCCCCTCTAAAGATAAATAAATAAAACCTTAAATAAAAAAGATAGACAGTATTCTGGGCCATAAAACGAGGCTGAATGAATTTAAAAGGATTCAGTGCATACAAAGTGTGTTTTCTGGCTGCAGTGGAATTAAATTAGAAGTCAATAACAGAGAGTTATCTGGAAAATCTCCAAATATTTGGTGAGTAGATAACACACTTCTAAACAACCCTTGTGTCCAAGAAGAAATCAAAAAGGCAATTGGAAAATATTACATACCAAATGAAGGGGAGTGGAAAGTCGGCACATCCAGATTTGTGGGCGTCATTAACACGGTCCTGCTCGGATGCGTAGTGCTGAGTTCCTGTGTTTGGACACAAGAGTGTTCCAAATCGGAACCTAAACTTCCACTTAATAAACTAAAGATAGAAGAGCAAATTACATTCAAAGTAAGCAGAAGGAGGAAAATAATAACCCCAGAAATAATGAAATCAAAAAAAGAAAACCAATACGCAATATCAGTAGAAAAACAAAAATTGATTTGCCGAGACCGACAGCATGCATAAACCTTTAATCAGACTGATTCGAGAAAAAAAAGACATGAATTAAAAACATGAGGAATGAGAGAAGTGAGATCACTAGAGAATCTATAAATATTGAAAGGATAAATAAAGCCCATACTATGAACAACTTTATGCCAATAAATTTAATGACTTAGATTAAATGGACAGCTTCTTTGGAGGAATTTACGTATTTCTAATTGTCTTGGGTTTCTTTTGCCTTTTTGCCCCCCTAGATTGTGAGGTGGGAGCCTAGGTTATTGCCTTGAGACTTTTCCCTTGTGTAATAAACACAGTTAGTGCTGTATACTTAGCGTTTAGCACTGTGTTTGCTCCATGACTTTAATACATTGTGTTCTTATTTTCACTGTGCTCGGTGTATTTTCTCTTTAATTTCTCTTGCAATTTCCTCTTGAACTCATGGCTTATTTAGAAGTGTGTGTTCAGTTTCCAAGTGTTTGGATATTTTCCTCTTAGCTTTCTGTTATTGATTTCTAGTTTAATTCCACTGTGGTAGAAAAGAACACTTTGTATGACTTCAACTTACAAAAATTTGGTTGAAGTATGTTCAGTGGGCCAGGATGCAGCCCACCTTGGTGTGCATGTTTGGTGCGCACTTGAACAGCCGTGCGTTCTGCTGTTGTCAGGTGGAGTGTTTTCTTTTTTAAATTAGTTTATTTTTAGAGGGGGGAAAGGAGGGAGAGAGGAGGAGAAACATCATTGTGTGGTTGCCTCTCGTGCGCCCCCTACTGGGGACCTGGCCCGCAACCCAGGCATGTGGCCTCACTGGGAATCTAACAGGTGACCCTTTGGTTCACAGGCCAGAGCTCAACCCACTGAGCCATACCAGCCAGGGCTGGGTGGAGTGTTTTCTAAATGACAGCGAGACCCTAGTGGTCCATGGGAATGTGGGGTTCGCCCATCTCTTCACTGGTTTTCTGTCTAATTGTCCCGTCAATTGTTGAGAGGGGGGCGATGAAGTCTCCACCTGCACTGTGGATCTGTTTCCCCTTTCAGTTCTCTCAGTTCTCTCAGTTCCTTCTGCCTGTATTTCGCAGCTCCGACATCGCAGGACACAAGGTCTGCTTGCAGAAGCCAATCATACTTCCTTTTTTAGCAGTGAGTGCAGGGATGATGAAATTAAAAATGTACTGTCATTCATCATCACTTGAGATAAAAGTAATACTTAGGTGGAAATCTAACAAAATACTCAAAGGACTTACATGATGCGTGCGACACGCTGATGGGAGAAAGCCCAAGCACCCTGTCTGCAGCCATTTCCGGAACTGGCTCCTCTGTCACTTCCCACACCACTTCGTCCTCCTGGGGTCCCAGGCTCCCCTGGGTGGCCTTCACTTTTCTCCCCTGTCCAGTTCATCACCAGCCCTATCGATAGCTCTCCCTAGGCATGTGACTAATTCCTGAATAATTCATGCATTCCCGAGTGCCCTGCATCCAGCACAGGGATAAAGTGGGGGGTGATCACTGTCACTCAGTCACTGAAAGGACAGCTGTCCTACAAAGGCATCAGATTCCCTGCATTTCTGATGCTACAAAGTGGTTCAGGCCATGATCACTGCGCATCTGAAATCCCACCAGCTTCGTTACGGGCCACTCCTACCCTTGCCAGTCCGTTTCCCACACTTCAAAAGGACCAGTTGGGTTGTGTTAGTCTCTTTAAAAAAAAAAAAAAAAAACCCACTGATTCTCCCATTGCTCCCAGGCTAAAAAGTGAAGACTTTATTTACCCTGGCTTCAAAGGCAGTTTTCTCTGGCTCCCACCTGCCTGGTCACCTCCCACCACCCCCTTGCTGTCCACTGAGCCCTTCACTCAGCATGGCCCCCCACCCTGGAGCACCTGCCCTTGCTCTGCACGGGGGACCGTGCCCTGCCCTCCTGCTGCACCTCGGCTGCCACTTCCTCTGGGCAGGCGCCCTTCCCCCTCTGCATGGCACTGTCAGAGTGAGGTGCCCTCCTTTGCCTGCTTCTTTGTCCACCCCCGGCACTGGGCTGGGGCCCCTGGTGGCTTGCGCATGCCTGGCACACGGTGTGCATTCCATGAACATGCAAGTAAGGGACGGACGGACAACCCACACCATGCCATTGACTGTATCCACAGTGAGAACATGCTTTATTTCTGTTTGATGTGAACAATTTTTTTAATGCCATTATGGATTCACTTTGGTGTTCTATTTAAAATATTTTCTTTGCTCCTATTTCAGATTGAAGAGGAAATAAAGGGCTGTTTGCAGTTTTTGCAATCTGTGTACTCCACCTTTGGCTTCTCCTTTCAGTTGAACTTGTCCACGAGGCCTGAAAACTTCTTAGGAGAGGTGGCTCTGTGGGATGAAGCCGAAAAGGTAGGAGGGACAAAGTGCTTCCCCTCCATTTTGGTGACAAGGGACAGCGCCCGAGTGTCCTCACTCAGCTTGTGAAGATGCTGTGGAATTCGGAATGGGAAGCTCTGGGGTAAAGACGCCAGTTGTAGAATGTGGTGACCTAGTTCTCTTCCTGACGGTGATAACAGCAGTACCATACATCTGTTTCACACTTTAAAGATTATATCAAGGTTTGCTTACACTTTTTTAAAGGATTTTTAAAATTTATTTTTAGAGCCGAAGGGAGGGAGAAAGAGAGGGACAGAAACATCAGTGTGTAGTTGCCTCTTGTGCGCCCCCTGCTGGGGACCTGTCCCATAACCCAGGCATGTGCCCTGAGTGGGAATCGAATGTGTGACCCTTTGATTCACAGGCTGGCGCTCAATCCACTGAGCCACACGAGCCAGGGCTATTTATACCCTTTTCAGTGCCAGTCACTGATGATAACCAGTGTCATAGTTTTTAAAGAAACACTCTGGCTCCTTCTTCAGCAGCTCTGGTCTGTCCTGTCCCCCCAGAACCAGTGTAAATCCCTCAGCTCCCTGGAGCTGCATCTGTTAGCGCCGCCCCCCGGTGCCCCACCTTTGCAGAGTTGTGATGAGTCACTAAGATCCCTGAGAATACTGCAGCCACACAGCCACACCGGTCCAAGCAAATTGATGTGTCTGAGCCCAGCTCACACACAGTCGAGGCCTCCAGTGCTGTTGGGGGCAAAGCCTTGCTGTACCTGGGGAAGGAGGACAGACAGACAGCAGGGGAGAGACGAGCCCTGATCTCTCCTTCACCAGGTCCCGGGCAGTATCCACTGCAAAGTGGGTGGTTCAGGTTCCCCTCATACCTGCACTTGCTGCCCCCACACCCACCTAAACCAAGAGCGGCCTTAGCCTCCCCTGGGTACCCCTATGAGGCCTTGCTGTCCCTGTGTCCTCAGAGGCCTGTGACAAGCAGTGACCTCCGCTTATGCTCTTCCGCCAAACCTGGCCCCTGTGGGGCCTTTAATTCCCTGAGAGCCCCCAGGTTCTTTCCATGGCTCAGGTGTCTGTCGTCGCAGGGCTTATTGTCCCTGCAAATGTGTGCATGTCTCTCCCCTTTTTTCAAAGACAGTAAAGGGAGGATGTGCATCCATGCTGGTGGCCTTCACTGTTCCTAAGCAGGAGGGAGGCTGCTTCCCCGGCTGCTTCCCCGGGCCCTGAGCCAGCGCCAGCTCCCAGCCCACCCTGACCGAGGTCCCTGGGACCCAGGAGTCTGCGTGCTCTGACTCTGCTTCCGCCTGACACACCACCACTGTCGGACCCCCCGTCGGGCCCTTTGCTCCCACACGTCAGCCCCTTCGTGGGCATCCGTGTATCGGGGGATGGCAGGGATTTGCATGGCGTTTTGGTTGCCGTATCGGTGTTCTGGCCATGGATGTGTGTCCTAGACTTTGTATTCATGGGGAGTAGCAGCAGATTCAAAGACCCTTTTATTCTGAATACTTCTGTGTACACCAGCCACCCGCAAGCACGAGCATCTCCATAAAGCTTAACTGAAAAGAACGTGTGTGGCTTAGGCCGAAGACCAGAGAGGGCCTCCCGCTCCCACACCCTATCAATCCCCCTCCCCATCTACGTGGGCAGAGGAAATGCAGGAGAGATGCGCGCCCCTTCGTCTTCTCATCCACCTAACGCAGAGCAGAGGTGCGGCAAGATCAAGTATTTCGTGCCTTTAATGTGAGGAGGGCCACCGACAAGAGCTGTCTGGGAACTGTCACAGGAGATGGGGCCTGAGAAGATGGGGCCTGCCTTGGCCCAAGGGCCACATCGTCCCTCCGGAGCAGTTTAGTAAATTATCTTCTTTTCCCACCAAATGATGGTGTGCGTTTCCTGAAAGCAACTGCCATCCTAATGACCTTTATGTAGTCGTCACTCAGTAGTTTTCTGAATGCAAAAGATGCTCACTAAATATATGTTGGACTAAACTAGAATGTAATTAAGATTTATAAGAGCTCCCTTTCCTGAGCCAGTGACAAAAGAGACAAAACGTACTGGGCGGCAGTAGATGTTTTCAGTGTTCTCCTCTTTTTTAAAAAACAGCAACTGCAGAAGAGCCTCATGGACTTTGGAAAACCCTGGAAGGTGAACCCCGGAGATGGAGCCTTTTACGGCCCTAAAGTAAGTAGACCATCTGCTTCAAAAGAGTACAGTTTAAAAGAAAAACGGAAACTGTCTAAGCAAACATCACTAACTTTGCAGATTGATATAAAAATCAAGGACGCCATCGGCAGATCGCACCAGTGCGCTACCATCCAGCTGGACTTCCAACTGCCTATTCGGTTTAACCTCACCTACGTTAGGTGAGTGACTAGACGCGGCACATGGTGCGGAACTCATATCCTGCCTCTGTCACGGTTGAGTCCTTTATGTATTCCACATATAAGCCCTTCGATGTATACATGATTCGCAAATCTGTTCTCCTCATCTGTGGCTCCTTTATTTTTTTTTATTTTTTTTTCACTTTCCCTTTAAAAGTTTTTTATTTCAGTGGTGTCTAATTTACATAGTTTTTCTTGTATGGATCATGTTTTTGGCTCATGACTACAAACGCTTTGCCTAAGCACAGGTAATGAAGATTTCTTCTACGCTTTATCTTAGAAGTTTCCAAGTATTAAGCTTTGTGCTTCAATCCAAGGTCCATTTTGAGTTAACGTTTGTCTGAGGTGAGAAGTTCAGGTTGGCGTTCATTGGTGACATCGAGATGCCTGATTGTCCTATGTCTGATCACTGGTTGTAGAGGGCAGCCCTTACCAAAAATCCATCAGTATTTCTGTGGGTCTCTTTCTAGATTTGCAGTTCTGTCTCACTGATCCACTGATTACCACTTCGTGAGCGTACCATGCTGTTTTGAATACTGTAGCTTTACAGTCAGTCTTAAAATGCGATGATACGAATCCTTTGTTCTTTTACAGAACTGTTCTTCTTCTTTTGCTTTTAATGGATCTACAACAGTTCCTGGTGGGAATTTTTATTGGAATTTAATTAAATCTAGAGGTCAGTTTGCATAGATTTTAACTAACTATATTTGCCTGTTCCAATCCATGAACTTCTTTGATTTCTTTTATCAGTTTTTATAGATTTCAACATACAATTCCTCTGTACATGTGTCATTAGATTTATACCTAAGTATTTCATGTGGAGGAAGCAACTGTCCACCGTATTGTATTTTTAACTTTGGCAGTCATGTGTTCGTTGCTGCTATTGTGATATATGACTGATGTTTGTATGTTGGCGTTGCATTCTGAGACTTTGCTGAACTTACTGGTTCCTAGGAGTTTTATTTTTGGGTGTTTTTTTTTTTGGTCCTTATAAAATTTTGAGGATTTTCTATGTAGACAGACAGGTAAGCCATCTGCAAATAGGGATGTTTATTTCTTGTCTCTGTGCCTCTTATTGCCTTCTCTCGCCCGTGGCCCTGGCTAGACCTTCCAGTGCCGTGTCAAATGAGCTGGATGAGAGCGGACATGGCTACCTTGTTCTCAGTCTTAGGAAAACAGACAGGTGCTCACCCCTGAGTATGGCGTTACCTGCGGGTCTTTGTTCACGCTGCGTGTCAGGTCGAGGCAGTCCTCCTCTCTCGCAGGCTTCCTGAGGGTTTTTAAAATCATGAACAGGTGTTGAATTTTGTCACGTTCTTTTACTGTGTCTGTTGATATGACCGTGTGGTTTCTTCTTTGGCCTGTTCATCCGGTGGGTCACATTGAGGATACTGTGCCTTGCATTGCTGGAGTGAAGTCGCACTTGGCCGTGGGCTGTTTGGATGCATAGTGGATTCAGTCTCCTAGCAGCTGGTTGAGAACTTTTGTGTGTGTTCACGGGGGCTATTGGTTTGGGGTTTTCTTGTCTTTGGTTTTAGTGTCTGGGTGATGCTGGCCTCGTAGAGTGAGTTGGGAAGTGGTCCCCTCTCTCCTGTTTCTGGAAGGGATTGGCGCTGTTGGGTAGAAGGAGCTTCTGTCTGCACGTGCTGTTTGGAATTCTGGAAGGAAGGTTCGCCTCTTCACGTTTGTTTTTCTGACTGTTTATTTCTATCAGTATAGGCTTGAATATTAATTTTATACTTTGGGTTATAATAAAATACAACATTTTAAAGTTTTTCTTGCCCAAATCATGCCAGCCTTTGCCCCTGGTAGTTCTTTTGCATCAACTCCTGGGTCCTTTTTATATGCTCCATCCTTTCTCTTTATTTAGAGAAAAAATTAGCATGCCTTTGTTCTCTGGCACCGGGAGAGGCTACAGGCTCACTGGCCTTTTTTCCTGACCCAGCTTGTGAGTCAGCCATTTTTTCAGTGAGAAATGGAATTTTTGGAACTGCAAACGACAGTAAATGTGATGTTGGAGGATGATACATAGAAATCAAGATCTGGGCCCCGGGAGACCTACCTGGCTTTTTCCTGTTTTATAAATGGTATAGCAATTAGAAGAAAACTTTATTTCTTTAAAAAAGATTTTATTAATTGATTTTAGAGAGAGAGGAGGGGAGTGAAAGGGAAAGAGGAAGAAACAGAGAGAGAAACAGCGATTTGTTGTTGTTCCACTTACTGATGCATTCACTGGTTGATTCTTGTATGTGCCCTGACTGGGGACCGAACCCACAACCTTGGCGTATTGGGACAATGCTCCACCCAACTGAGCTACCCAGCCAGGGCAGAAAAATTTACTTCTGGTAAAGATCACATGGTATGCTCAAAGATTGAAGAGGAAGCCATTGCTTTACATAGTTTAGGAAAATAACTCTTTAAGAAGATAAAGTCCTTCCTGAATCTGAAGAAAACACTTCGATGTGTAATTTTTATTTTTCAGCAAGGAAGGGGACGATAAGAAGAACCCTGTGATCATTCATCGGGCCATTTTGGGCTCAGTGGAAAGAATGATGGCCATTCTGTCAGAAAACTACGGGGGGAAATGGTAAGTGGCATGGAAAAGAAAATCCATGTGTCTTTTTCTTAAAACTCATGCCTAAAAAAATCAAATTAATCAAATGTGAAAAATTGGGGGGCTCCTGCCTTATAATTAGCAAGGGTCCGAACAGCAAGTAAAAAAACTGTTACATACCAGCCTGCGAACCAAAGAGTCACAGGTTTGATTCCCAATTGGGGGTACGTGCCTGGGTTGTTGGCCAAGTCAGGCCCCCAGAAGGGGGCAATGAGAGGCAACCACACATTGATGTTTCCCTCTCTTTTCCCCTCTCTTCCCCTCTCTCTAAAAAGAAATAAAACAAAAGAAAATCTTGCTACAGCTGCCAAACCAGAAAACAAGGGCAGGGAGGCATGAAACGCCCCTCCCCTCTGGGGAGCCCGCAGCGTTGCAGACTCATCTCCTTCACGTCCAGCCCTGCACAGTGGCTGCCCGAGCGCGGAGAGCGCGAGGCCCGCGCTCCCAGGGCCCCGCCTCCCACCCACCTGCCCTCCCACCTTCAACCCGAGTTGTTACCTCTGGGGCACCAGGTGACCTTTGACTTTGGAGGAAACCCTAGTTCACAAGTGGCCCCGAGCAGCGCGTTGGCACAGATCCAGAGAGAACTGCTGCCGTCGCCCGGCCCCCTCCGGGGATGAAGGGGGGAAGGCCAGTGCCCGGAAGTGCAGGAGTTTGAGGGGTGCATCTTGCGGTCCGCTTGGACTGGAGGGGAAGTGGCCGAGTGTGGAGGGACGCTGGAGCGCGGGCTCTGGTTGTTGCTGTGGCTACAAGGTCGGAGACTGGGGAGTAAAAGGACTGGAAAATAGAGGACAAGTAGGTTTGCGGGAGAGGAATGAGGATGACGGCTCAGAACGGGCCTCGGGGCAGTGGTATTGCCCACCCAGTGGCCCCCACTGTGAGGACATTTTCCATTTTCCGTACTGAAATGCAAGAGGCTGATTCTGTAATGGGCGGCTCCTCTCTCCCCCTAGTGGTAGCTCAGTGACCCATCCATGTGTGATCGGCCCTGATCCCTGACATGCCACCATAACCCCGAGGGGACAGCCACTTCTCTTGTGGCCAGTTAATGACTTTGTGTCCCTTTCGCCGTGTGAGGGCCAGTGACATGTCCTCACTGGAAAAGACGCCCACTCTGATTTGCTTTGCTCTTCCTCTCTGCCACGCCTCCACCAGGGCCCCACGCAGATGCCACTGAGCCGAGCCCCCCTCAGAAGCACACGGTCCTTATGATCAGGGAAATGGTTTTGTAGCAAAAGTAGGGAACAGGGCTGACATGGTGGGGTTCACCAGTGTGCTTATGGGGTGATTAGCCTTTCCACCCAGCTGCCAGCCCCTTCTTCCCTCCCCTTCCTGGCAAAATGCCCAATTTCCCCTTCTGTCCACCCTACAGCCTTTCACCTCTTAACGTAATCTGGTTTCCTCCCAACTACTCTGTGGAAGCTGCTCTCTTATAGGCCTTATTTTAAATAAGTCTAGGATTATTTTTTAATCATGTAATAAATGGTCATTCCGAAAAGACGTATTTTTACATATTTTTCAGGCCTCTCTGGCTGTCTCCTCGTCAAGTAATGGTTATCCCCGTGGGGCCAACTTGTGAAAAATATGCACTTCAGGTAAAATCAGAGACATTAAAAGTACATAATCACCCTGGCACCTAGTGTGGGAAAGTTATTGACTTGAAATGTATTTGTGCCTTAAAGCACGGCCTCCCTGACACGTGCACTCAGCAGCCACGTTTCAGCAATTGGGAGCACCACCTGAATCATGCCTGTGTGCTGTGTCAGAACTGCTGCCTTTCTTAATGCTTCTGAGAAATCAGTATTTTAAAATTTCTCACATTTATTTTTTCCATGTGGCTCTATCAGAGAAAAATACTTATAGTATTTATTGCAATGTAACAAACGACCCCAAAACTTAGCAGCTTAGAACAACAAACATTTATTGGATCAGAGTTTCTGGAAGTCAGAATCTGGGAGCAGCTTGGCTGCGTGGTCCTGGCTCAGGGCGCCCCTGAGGCTGCAGGTGGTGCCAGCCGCCTGGGCCGCAGCCCCCAGACCCACTCCCATCTTGGAGGCCCTGCAGAGGTGGCCTGAACGTCCTCCCCATGTGGCAACTGGTTCCCCCAGAACGAATGATCTGAAGATGCTGGGGGATGAAGATGCTTTCTCATCTCAGGGGTGACTTGCTCTCACCCCCAACTGTCTCCATGGTCACGCAGGCCCAGCTGGTACAGGGTGGGGGGAATGAGGCCAGGGGGTGGCTGCCATAATGTAACAACGCGGCGTTTTATGTTCCTGCAGGTATCCAGTGCCTTTTTCGAAGGAGGATTCATGGCCGACGTGGATTTAGATCACAGTTGTACACTAAATAAGAAAATCCGAAATGCACAGCTGGCTCAGTATAACTTTATTTTGGGTAATTTAAATTTATATCTCTCCTCCTAAATGCTCGCTGTTTACACCTTAATTCCAAAAGCAGAAATAAAGAATATGGGGTGACTGACTACCTGATTATACTGTATCAGTTTAAGTGTTGAATTACTTACACACAAGGTTCCATGGTGGGATGGTTGGCACTCCGGACTCTGAATTCCTTACACATGAAGCAGAGTGTGTGGTGGTCTGGGGAAGGCTGTTCCTCAGCACGCTTTGTTCTTTGCTGGAAGAAGAGTTACAAAGTTTCCCAGGGATCCTGTAGTCTAACAATACAGGCACGAATTAATATCTCAGATGAACAGTGGAAAAAATATGAAAATGATCTCATCAGTTGAATTATACTCTTCACATTTCAGCTGTATTCCAGGCTGAAAAATCTTCTTTGCTTTTCCGGTTTACTAGAAATCTTGAGGATTAAACTAAGGCATGGACAAGGTTCCAGCTTTACAATGATCCAAAGAAAAGAATCAAGTGGAAAAAATGTCCTGTAGGCATGTGACTAATCGAATGCAGAAACTAAAATTTTGACTTTAAAAATGATTCGAAATCAAGAGAAATCGACACTGATATGCCTGCAGGCATGAGATTAGCTCCTGTAAGTTGAAAGGTTCTGTAGAAGGCAAAATAAACATGCATTGAATTTTCCTGTCAACAATTTGTGGTCAAAAGGGTTTGACTCTATAGTAGGCTTGGTGATGCTCCGATCAGGCTTCTGGTGGTGACAGATATTTCATACAGCTTAGACAAAGATGGAACTTACTGGACAGGCACTGGAGTGTCCCTTCACACGGAATGTAGAAATAAGGAGCCAAACCACTAGAAGAGTAATGGACAGAGGTGCACAACTCTCACCAGGACTGTCTCTTCCTATTTCTGGTCCCTGCTCTGGTTCATTGTGCTTTTCTTGGATTTTTACTTTATTCCCCTCACTGATGACCAATTTCTTCCTTCCAGATGGCAAGGAACATGGTGGCAGATTCCTTTGTCATCTCACAACATGGGTCACTAGAGAGAACATATTTTTTTTTTAAGCTACATTGCAAAAAACTCTGGTTGGCGGGTCGGGCCACCCCTTGATGTACCAGGGGGTGGAGTCAGGGTGTCCATAAGAGCTCCCCGCTCCCATGTGCACCCCAAGACCACAGTAGACCACAGTAGTTCTCTCAAGTGGATGAGAAATGGGATTAGAAGTCGGTCCTTCCCTCAAGAAACTAATGGCTGTCAGATGGATGTTTAGTGATTAATAAATATTGAAGACACACTAAGAAAGACACCTGGCTTGTACTACTCAGTATTTCATAAATTGTTGACCTAAAATGTTATTCCCTTTCTTTTTCACAGTGGTTGGAGAAAAGGAAAAAGCAAATAATGCTGTAAACGTTCGAACAAGGGACAACAAAATTCATGGAGAGATTTCACTCACTTCTGCCATGGACAAACTGAAGAATCTCAAGAAGTCACGTACTCTTAATGCTGAGGAAGAATTTTGAAGTCCTTCCTTGTACCCGCTTCTGTGTAACCCTGTTCTGATCCCTGAAAATGCTTTTTTCTTAATGACTGTTAGTACCTCTTCTGGGAACTTTAGACCTGCTGACAGTTAGTTCCCTGTTGGGTGCAGTGAGAGAGGAGACGATGAATGAATAGCTGATATGGACAGAATTTAATTCTCTAATGTTTCTGAGAACGATAAGAGGACAAGCTTGGGAAGTGTTTAATTTCCCAAGTGTCTTGAGAGACTTAACTGGGAAAAGGTTATTCACTGAAAAAGGGAAGTATCAGGAAATGAGGACTATGAGATGTTATTGCTAAGATGTGTGATTTTTCAAACGATAAGTTTCAAGTAAAAGTATGCAAAGCTTTTTGGAATATGGCAGGAAATCTTATTTCCTACTAACATTATGTTGTCAGTTGTTTTACCAAGTTCACACTGAAACTTTATGTCCAAAATTGGAATCACTACTTAATTTGTTTTAACTAAGCAAGAACCGCAAGAGAAAAAGCCATACCCAATGTTAGATTATTGACCAAGGACTCAACCCATATTCAGCATTGTAGAATCTAAAGGAGTTTGTACTGTAATTTAAGTCACAGTTTTAATGATTCTAATAAACAGTTAAGCCTTGTTCATCTTTAGAAAATACAAATTTCTGAATAAAATGCATTATAGTGTTTCAGCTATGGGTTTATACCAAAATATCTGCCTTCCTAGAGTTAAATTATCTTTTTGATGTGAAAATGACGGTTCAAAAAAAAAAAAATGACGGTTCACTGCTCTATGTACTCAAATGGATTTTATTTTAATTAAGAGGACTACCTGACTGCTCAGAACAGAATTAACGGGCCTTATGCCAATAGAGAATTTAGCTGTCCATCATTAGTAGTAATTTTTGTGTTTATAAGGCTATGTACTATGAATGCAAAATAAATTTAGGACATGTTCTCTCAACACATATATCATTTAGTTTCTTGAACAAAAAACAGTAAACAAAACAGTATTATGTTATCAGACCTTGTAGTGCTATAAGGTACAAACTATATAACTTTCAAGCTAATATTTATGAGGCCAAGCACTACGTATCTTCACTTTTTTCATTCACCAAACGAGCTAGTGAAGGACTGGGGAATCAGAAGTCACCCCATTCCTTAACCCCCTGCTCCCACGATCTTGTGAAAGGTTGGTGGGAATAACATGTCCATCGCTCAGGATGAAGAATGCTGGTAGAGACAACTGAAGACTTGTGTGTGAGCGGGCAGGAAGCCTGTGATGTGGGGTGCATCTCCCCTCCCCACGGTTGGCCTTTAGGGAGGGTCCCATGCTTGGACCCTCACTTTACAGCGGGGCTCTTGCCCCAATGCCCAGAAGCCTGAAGACCTGCTGGCTACACTTAATGTCTGGTCCCTCCGGGTCTTACATGAACTTTTGTAAATACCGTGTCCTGAAGGAGGCAGCCGGCGGAAGCAGGAGAGGCTGCGAAGAGGCGCGAGCTGGGCACTGAGTGGGCCAGCCCTGGTACCGCGGGGCCACCTGGCACGCCTGGAAGGTGCTTCCCACACAGTGTGGGCCAGTTTCTTCATATGTAAACAAGACCATTTTGGTATGAAATTAAATGTAATATCATCAAAATCTTCGCACAAGACCTAGCACATAGTAGCGGCTTTTCTCCAAACATACAAATCTAACGACATGTAAATGGTGGCCAACTCTCCAATTTGCCCATCCCTGTTTTCAGGCACTTCAGGTGTGCATTTCGGCCCCAGGTGACCTTCTCTGGTCTCCAGCCGTAGAAGCCTTCGGAGAGCGCAACGTGCGGGGTCGCGGGCAGCGCTTGGAAACCCAGCAACCAGGTTACGTCCCCGGGGGCCCATCCCCACCCCAGCTCTCGGTGAGCTCCGGACCGAGGCCGCAACGCGCTTGCGCCCTGGGTTTCCCGGGGAACTGGGGAGCGGGAAATGTGCCTGGCCCCGCCCCGTCGGGCACCTCCGCCCTTCGGAAGAACTGTAGCCTGCAGACCGGAAGTGCGTCGCGCCGGCAAGATGGCGGCTGAGGCTGGCCCTTTGGGGGCCGTGGCCTGCCTCTGCCGTGTGCTCCTCTTTCTCTCACAGTTTTATATCTTGTCGGGCGGTGGTGAGTTCAAGGCCAGGAGCCACGCCGGGTCTCGCTGGGTGGCAGGGGTTCCCGGGAATTGCAGGAAGTGTCCAGGAGGCTGGACGCTGTGAACAGGGCGGAGGGGTGGCGGGACGCTGCAGCTCAAGTCTGGCGCGTCTTGGTCCCGGGTCTGGGGCCGCCCCTCCGCGCGGCTACACTGGAGCTGCAAGTTTAGCTACGGAGTCCAGGGGCTGCGGGTTCGGAGTGGGCGGGGCGCGGCGTGCGCCGCGGGACTGATCCCGACGCCACGCTTGGTTCCTAGTTACCCGGGATATCGACCCCGATAGATGACTTGGACACCCAGAGTGTCCAAGTGGGTGTCGACCCTGTGGGCGTTTCATTCTTTGGTTTTTGGGGCAGTGGAGCTGTGAGATTCTCACAAGCAGTCATTGCGTGGTGTCGACCCAGCTCGTTAAGCACACGCCAAGATGTTCATGTCCCAGGATAACATGTTTCTCTAATTGTAGGATCCTTAAATTTAGAGCATTCGCAGCCGCTGGCTCAGTCAATAAGGGACCCGGGCCCAACACGTACTTTCACAGTAGTTCCCAGGGCAGCAGGTACTAGACGTTTTCTATTCTAGTAAATGTGTGCTTCTATTTAGTGGGTTAGCCCTCTCTCTTTTTTGGATTAAGATTTCTTTTAGTATATGAAATCACTTTCCATTTTTTTTTAATAGTTTACTTTATTGTATTTTAGATTACATGAACTAAGAATGAGCAGAGAGGTATTTTCTGTAGGCAGTTGCTATTTTCGGTACCTTATGACAGTCTCACACTCTTCATTTCCATCTTTGGATTTCTATTATTTTTCACTCCATCAAGGTAATAACCCTGAACTAGTACATCTTTCCCTTCAGGAGATTTCTTCTGCTTCTTAATCGCTGTTCCTGATGTTGGGGATTAAAGGCACCCTCAAGGCCGTTTGGAATGGAAGGATCACAGAGGGACAGGTGGAGCCTTGGATTCTAGTTCCTGTTGTGCTCCTGGGAGTTTGAACAAATTATTCACACATTTGGGCTTTGGTTTTCTCATCATTAGGGTGATGGGGTTTTCCTGGCCCTCTGGGTCATCTTAGCTTTGTGATTCTAAGTGTTCATCTTCCAGCCTCAATAGTCACAGGAACAAAAGAAAAGGAAAACGGTATTTTCATTGCACACCTGCTACAATGAGACCGGTTTACAATGCGTATTAGTGTGTTTTGCTAAATTTAACATTTGTTTCTACAGCTTCATCCCTTTAGAGGTATGTGGTGGATCGTAATTTGGATGTAAGAGGCAAGGAGACAGCAGCATACTTGAATTTAAAACATAAATTTTTTTATAGTGAAAGTGCAAGAATTTTCTACCCTTTTGGGCCTTTCTGAAAGTTTCTCAAAGCAAAACAAAAAGCTTCTCATCCTCCTAAGAATACTTGCAATTTTGATCCTCTCTCAACTGATAGAAATACATTGTACTCCTGACTAGGTTGGCTGGGGGGAAAAAAACCTACAACCCTCTGAACAGGTTGTTAACATAGGAAACTATTTTGAACTTTTGGTAGTATAAAACTGTAAATGCGATTAGCGAATTCCGGCTTATTGAAGGGGCAGTGTGGAGTAATGGTGGCGAGTAAAGTTCAAGGGTCACTGGGTTCATTTCCAAATTAGGGAGTTCAAGTGAAAAGAACGTCCGATTGGAAACTTGAGAGACTGGGATTCTTGTTCCAGTTTGCCGCTCCCACTGTGATCTTGAACAAACCCCATCATCCCTAAGATGTAGTTTTTTTCATCTGGTAGCATGGTAGATTTTTTTGAGGCCTTGATTTACACCTAGCATTAGATATACATTATATATATATATATATAAAATAGCACCTTTTGAGTTTTCTGGTCATTCAGGGACAGCCATTAAATACTTTTTCCTCAGCTGCAGAGCTCTCCATGACGTCCCTCCGCTGGCTGGTGGCAGAGCTCTGTCCAAGCAGCAGGCTTGTGGCTCCAGCGCTGGTGTTGCTATTCCAGTGTCGTATCTCCTTGCCAGTGATCATACCCTGTGTATCTTAGAAAATTGTTTCTTTTTGATCATTATTATAAGAGAACAAGCTTCTCTCTCACTTTCGCAGAGAGCACCGACATCCCCCCTTACGTGATGAAGTGCCCCAGCAACGGTTTGTGCGGCAGACTCCCTGCAGACTGTATAGAGTGCAAGACGAACTCCTCCTGCGTGTACGGGAAGCCCGCCGCTTTCGACTGCACGGTCAAGCCGTTCGTTACCTGTGTTGTAAGTACTGCACCTTAACTGACTCTAAAACCCCTGGTAAACCTGGAGTTATTGGGAGCGCCTAGACTTGAGAGGAGGAGGGAAATTCTGAAAGAAAGTGCCTGCATTTTATAAATAATATTTTAGGATTCAAGTTAATTCTGTCCAAAGACTGGAGTTTTCATTACCAAATGAGGTTTGGTTGCAAGGGTTGAGATGGGAATTTTTTGATGTATGGGGAAATCAAAGCAACTCTCAGCCTTTCTATACAAACTCAGACATGGGAAAAGCTTGAGTATACGGACTTGCCCTTTAGAGACGACCCCGCCGCAATCATCCTGCCTACATCCAATCTCTGATGCTTTAGCGGAGAAGAAGGAGCGTGGAATGGCTTCTGTGACTGGCGTTTCTGACACAGGGCCCTAGGGACACCTGCTTCGGAGCTACTTATCCCGGGCTCCTGGTGGAATGGCAGGCTCTACAGGCAGCCCCGGCCTGCTAGATGGGAACAGCCCAGGGAGACGTGGGCACCACGCTTTCCAGGTGGCTGTTGCACACGTGTTAAGGGGCGCTGTCGGAGCACCTGCGTGAGGCAGATAGCACTGAGTGATGGAGTCGCGTTTCCCTCGTGGCCCTGCCAGGCCGGGTCATTGGATTTATTAATCTCTCTCATTCCATGAGGAAATAGGCCCAGAACGGCTTTTCCTGGTGTCTTTATGGAACTCTCTTTCTGGGAAATGGTTGAGGAGGAAAACAGTTTCCATACCATGTCTTTTGCAGATTTCCTCTGACTAGCAACTCTGGCATTTCCTTTGCCTATAGGAGCAAAGTCCCCCCACCTCTCCCATATTTTTTGGAACATGATCTGCAAAGGGCTAGGTTGGAAAGTTCTCTCTGCCCCCAGGCTTTTGCTATAACTTTCCCGAAGTCTAGGATCAGAGGAGGGAGTGTGGAGGTTCACTCCACAGGGGAAATGCTATGTCATGGGTTCAGTGTCCAAATGCAGTGTTTATGAACTTACAGGTTTGCTGTTTCCATATATTGATGTAACCCTTCAGTGTGTACTGCTACATCACACTAATTGCCAGGCAGGCTTCACGACCACCCAGGAATTACCAGGCCATCTTTGTTGCTGTGTCTTAAATAGACTTTTCTCCCAACCAGCCTAATGGCTAAACCCGTTTGAAGGCATTTTGCAGTGATGTGTGTTGTGAGATTGGCACATCGGAGGCACTTAGTGAAAATGAGAGAACTTGCTGCCTGAGGGGAACGTTTCCAGAAATAGCTTCCTTTGTTATTTGCCTCAGCTTCTCTGACATTTGTCTCCCCAAACTGGCTATTGAGCAAGACAGGGTGCTCAATTTCTTCCTTCTTTAGGTGTTGCAAACACTGGCTGTTTCATTTAGTGGGAAATAGCAGAGGAGAAAACAAATATAACAAAAGGTTGAGAGATCACAGAGTTTAGGGGGTTTCTGAACTCCCAGGTCAAGGTCCCTGGTCAGAGTCCCCGCCCTGGGCTGCAATGGGCCCCATTTTGGATTGCTTCCTCTCTGGCAGGTGCCCATCCTCAGGGGTGGGATTTGAATTCTGCCCCAGGAGCGTCTGGTGGACGTGCCGCTTTCAGGAAGGGCAGCAGTGAAATACGTGAATTGAATGTCAAGAGCCAGAGATCCTAGGACTGCTGTTGCCAGGTGACCCGGGACAAGCCGTGCTTTCTTACGTGTCATGTGGCAGTCTCTCTGGTCCCTTCTCGGTGAACGAGTTAGCCTTTCAGGAAGAAACAGTCCACGGCCGTCACGTGTGCACACACGCGGACGCTCTCCCTCATGCTGCACCGGCCGCCGGCCTCACCTCCTTCTCACTTTGAACTTCAGAATAACAGAAAGAAGTAAACTCTCCAGTCCTTCTCCATGCACACTGCTGGGGACTCACAGACCAGGGGACCCTCCCCCAGGGGACACCAGTCAAGGGCATATTGTATAAGGACCCTGTTACGTATACATGGAGACATAAACGTGGAAATCTTGCAACCCCTTCCGTGTCAGATTGCTGCTGTTCCAGCGATAGTGGCTGATACCCGGCCAGTCGACGTCAGCTGGAACCGAGCTCGGCAGGAAGGGTGCCGTGTCATTGCTAGTGCACCCGCAGCAGGTGCAGTGCCTTCAGGCGGGTCTGCGTGTGTCAGTAGGACAGCTGTGTCACAGGGGAGGTACCAGATCTTTTTCCTCTAGACAAGTTTTGACAAGGGTTCTAGACAAGGGGTCTGTGCTTCTCCGTGGTAAGAAGGATTCTATAAATGTTCGGCTGCTTGGGTAGCTATCAGGAAAAACATGGAATCCCTGTCTTGTCCAAAATAAATTACAGATAGGTCAAATAGTTAATGTGAAAAAAATGAAGCTGCAAAGTACTAGAGTAAACATGAGCTATGTCTTGTTAAAAATGTCAAGATAGGGTCCTGGCTGGTGTGGCTCAGTGGATTGAGTGCCAGCCTGCAAACCAAAGGGTTGCTGGTTCGATTCTCAGTCAGGGCACATGGCTAGGTTTCGGGCCAGGTCTCCAGTAGGGGGCGTGCGAGAGGCAACCACCCATTGATGTTTCTTTCCTCTTCCTTCTCTCTTTCTTCCCCCTCTAAAAATAAATAAATAAAGTCTTTAAGAAATTTCAAGATAATATTTTTCTAAGCATGAAATGACATTGAGAAGCCATAAAAGGAAGGAGGTATTAGTAAAAATTAGAGATTTCTGCGTAAAGAAGCATAAAGGCAAACGATAAATGATGCACAAGGAGAAGGTACTTCTAACCGTCACAAATAATGCACTAATGCCCACAATGTAAAAAGGTTGCCCAGGAACCAGTGCGAAGAGATGATGGTTCTCTAGGAAGACAGTGTCGGGACACGAGCACACGGTTCATAAAAAGGAAGTGCAAGTGGACTTCCAGCACATGAAAAAAATGTTACTCTCTCTCATATTGAAAGAAATGCACCATGTGTTTTTTACCTGTTAGACTGGCCCACAAACAGGTTTATGACATTGAGTTTGCAAGTGCAGACGTGACACATGTCATCAGTGTGTGGGCATAGGGGCTATTTGTGGCTGCCTGGCTTTATAGAAGAAACTTAACTTTTTCCTGTACAAAAGTACGCATGCTTTTTCAAAAAGATTTAAATTTCTTCTTCTTGTTTTTAGAGAAGGGGGAAGGAGGGAGAAAGAGGGACAGAAACATCAGTGTATGGTTGCCTCTCATGCGCCCCCTACTGGGGTCTGGCCCACAACTCAGGCATGTGCCCTGACTGGGAATGAAACCAGCAACTCTTGAGGCTGGCACTCAGTCCACTGAGCTGTACCGGCCAGGGCAAAAAGTACACATGCTTAATGTTAGGTAATAATATTACAAATTTAGCAAGGTACAAGTGATAACCTAATCTTACCACCCTAAAATAACCTTTGTGGTTTTGATGTGAATTCCTCTAGGAATTTTTTTCTTGGGTACCCATTTTCGGGTATAAATTCTTACGAGTATAGGATCACTCATTTGTTTTGCACATGTACTGGTTTGGTCCCTGTTTCCGTGCCACTGCTTGCCGGGTCATCAGTATGTTTCAGACTTGTGCCATATGACTTGTTTACTGTCGACCTGGTCATGAGCTGCCACTCCATTGCCATGGATGAGCCCTGTGTCCTTTGCTCCATAGGATCAGGACTTCAGGTCCCAAAAGAACTTCGTCATCAACATGACCTGCAGGTTCTGCTGGCAGCTCCCCGAGACCGAGTACGAGTGCTCCAACTCCACCGCCTGCATGACGGTGTCCTGTCCCCGGCAGCGCTACGCCGCCAACTGCACGGTGCGGGACCACGTGCACTGCCTGGGTGAGCCCCGCCGACGGGGCGGGTGGGCAGCGAGACGGTTTATTCTCCGAGCTCACTCACGGGGCTAGAATCAGAAAGTTGAGAATTAAGTTTAAATTATGTCTTCAGGAGCATTTATCAGCACTTTGCAGTTATGCCAAACCTCCATCATAAACTCAGTGAACTAAAAAAACAGTCCAGAAAATTTGCAGTGTGCTTATCGTTTCAAATATTATATTGGAAAAAACGAAAAATCTGTCAGGTGTAAAGTCTGGCAGACCGTATTGACTTTCACCTGCGTAACGACTAACACAGCGCTCTTCTTACATCCTTCAGAGGTGCCCGCCCTTTTGAATTGTGTTCTCATCCCACTTCCTTCTCTTTAAATTGCGGGGCTCTGTCACATTTGTGTCACAGATGTAGTGTGATGCGTTACTCAGCGGTGCACGCTGGAGAATCGTATACAGTACCAGCGAGTGTAGGGTTTTCGGGGACTTGCTCTTTCCCTCTCAACATTCTGGCTCCAGGATCCATCTGTGCGCCTTCGCTTACTTTTTTTTTTAACTTCTCAATAATGATCCTTTGTAAGAGTGTGTCACTTGTTCGTTCATTCTGCCATGCGTTTGGATAGTCATATTTTTTGTTCTTACAGGTGATGGGACTGTCATAATTTTTTCTTGTGGCTCCTGTCTGCGCGTGGGCAGGAGCCAGTCTGGCTTGTGCCATCTTCCAGACGGCATTGTTTTCCAGATGGTTCCTCAGCTCACACCCCGCCGGCTGCATAACTCTTCCTGATGACCCACGTGCTCTCCTGTACTTGCTACTCCTATTTCGTCTGTTTCTTAAAGGTTCCACGGCGTTCTTTTATATGTTGGATGCCAGCGTTTTGACATCCCTAAAATCCTATCCCCGGCTTTTAAATTTCTTTTTCCACTTTGTTTTTGGTATCTTTTGAAGATCAGAACTTGAAGTTTGAACTGGTCGAAGGTTATTAGTATTTCCTAGTTAGCCCCTTCTGGTTGTAAGAAATCTTTTCTTACTCTAGGCTCATGGAAATACTTTCTCGTCTTTTCTTTTTAAAGCTGTGAGTCGGGCCTTTCACACCGAGGTCTGCGATGCACCCGCAGCAGGCTGTGGTGTCTGGGGTGAGGTGGGTCTGGACGGCCCGTGGTCTCGGGAGCCTTTGCTCCGTGGACGTGCTTCCGTGTGTGTGGTCGGGGGTCCCTCCTGACTGTCTGCCTCGGCAGCACGCCGGCGTCTTCACCCTCCTGCGTCTTCACCCTCCTGCTTCCAGTCTGAGAGCCGGCAGGGCATTCCCCAGTCCGATGCTGCAGCCTTTACCTAACCAATTTCCACATTCGGTCCCTGTTTTCACCCTCCATCCAGGGAACATCGTTGTAAGCAGGGTGTACTTTGTAGATTTTAAAAAAATATATATTTTTATTTTATTGATTATGCCATTACAGTTGTTCTGTTTCCCCCCCTTCATTCCCCTCTACCCTGCACACCTCCCCACCATTCCCCCCCTTTAGTTCATGAACACGTGTCTCAAGTTCTTTAGATTCTATATTTCCCCTACTATTCTTACCCTCCCCCCTATTTTCTATCTACTGTCTATGCTACTTATTTTCTGTACCTTCTCCCCCCTTCTCCTCCTCCCACTCCCCTGTTGCTAACCCTCCTTGATACCTTCATTTCTATGGTTCACTCCTGATCTAGCTGTCCTCTTAATTTGCTTTTGTTTTAGGTGTGGTTGTTAATAACTGTGAGTTTGCTGTCCTTTCACTGTTCATCTTTTTTATCTTCTTTTTCTTAGCTTAAGTCCCTTTAACATTTCATAGAATAAGGGCTTGGTGATGATGAACTCCTTGAATTTGATCTTATCTGAGAAGCACTTTATCTGCCCTTCCATTCTAAGTGAAAGCTTTGCTGGATAGAGCAATCTTGGTTGTAGGTCTTTGGTTTTCATGACTTGGAATACTTCTTTCCAGCCCCTTCTTGCCTGTAAGGTCTCTTTTGAGAAATCCGCTGACAGTTTGGTGGGAACTCCTTTGTAGGTGACTGTCCCCTTATCTCTTGCTGCTTCTAGAATTCTCTCCTTCATTTTAATCTTGGCTAATATAATGATGATGTGCCTTGGTGTGTTCCTTCTTGGGTCCAACTTCTTTGGGACTCTCTAAGCTTCCTGGATTTCCTGGAAGTCTATTTCCTTTGCTGGAATGGGGAAGTTCTCTTTTATTATTTGTTCAAATAAGGTTTCCACTCGTGACTGTTCCTTTCCCCGTTCTGGCACTCCTATAATTCGGATGTTGGAGCGTTTAAAGATGTCCTGGAGGTTCCTAAGCCTCTCGTCATTTTTTTGAATTCTTGTTTTTTCAGGTTTTTCTGTTTGGTCATTTTTTCCTTCCTTCTAGTCTGCTCCCTTGATTTGAGTCCCAGTTTCCTTTCCATTACTATTGGTTTCCTGTGCATTTCCATTCATTTCAATTAGGTTAGACTTCATATGCTCCTCTAATTTGTGACTAAAATCAACCAGTTCTGTGAGCATCCTGATCACCAGTGTTTTGAACTATGCATCTGAAAGTTTGGCTATTTCTTCATCACTTTCTCTCCTGTTTTTTTTTTTTTGCTTTTTTTTTTTATTTTTGCCATTACATTTATCGGCTCTATTCCCCCTCCCTTCCCCTCCACCCTGCATACCCCTCCCCCACCATTTCCCCCTTTAGTTCATGCACACGTGTCTCAAATTCTTTAGATTCTGTATTTCCCCTACTATTCTTACCCTCCCCCCTATCTATTTTTTATCTACTGTCTATACTACTTATTTTCTGTACCTTCTCCCCCCTTCCCCTCCTCCCACCCCCCTGTTGCTAACCCTCCCTGTGATCTTCATTTCTATGGTTCTGCTCCTGATCTAGCTGTCCTCTTAGTTTGCTTTTTGTTTTAGGTGTGGTTCTTAATAACTGTGAGTTTGCTGTCCTTTCACTGTTCATCTTTTTTATCTTCTTTTTCTTAGGTAAGTCCCTTTAACATTTCATATAGTAAGGGCTTGGTGATGATGAACTCCTTGAATTTGACCTTATCTGAGAAGCACTTTATCTGTCCTTCCATTCTAAATGAAAGTTTTGCTGGGTAGAGCAATCTTGGTTGTAGATCTTTGGTTTTCATGACTTGGAACTACCTCTGTCTGCTTCCTTCTTGCCTGTAAGGTCTCATCACTTAGATTTATCGGCTCTGGGGCTCTGAGTTGTTCTTGAGCCGTGTTTTGATCTGTTTGTGCCTGTTACGTATGAGGAGCTGAGCCTTAGGTATTCCACAGGATGAGGCCACCCAGGTCGCTGGTTTGTGATGCTATATGTGGGGGCGTGGTCAGAGAGGGAGCAATGGCGGTCTTCTCCACTTGCCAGGTCTGCCTCACCGCTCGCCCCCGCCTGTTTATCTGAGCGCAAATGTGCGACCGCATACAGCCAACTGTGCCTTCCCTGTGTCTGCCTGTATCTAGCCTGCACCTGGGATCCGCGCCCTCGGCTGCCTGTGCGCCGCCCAGGTCGGGATCTTTTTTGCCCGACCTGCTCCGCTGCTGGCTTCGTCCCTCTCACCGGTTTAGCTGAGCGGTTCATTGTTTTCGGACTCCGTATTGTCCAATTTTCTGTGATTTGGTTCCTTTTATTGTTGTTAAAACTTGGTTGTTTTTAGATTTGGTTGTGTGAGGAAGCAAAGTGTTTCCACCTACGCCTCCATCTTGGCGGAAGTCCTACTTCGTAGATTTTTAATTACAAGGCCACTAGTTACAGTGAAGTCTCTGTATACGAGTATTTTTAAAAATATTTTTAATTATTTATATTTAGAGAGAGGAGGAGGGAGGGAGAAAGAGAAGGATAGAAACATCCGTGTGTGGTTGCTTCTTACACACCCCTCACTTGGGACCTGGCCCACAACCCAGGCATGTGCCCGGACTGGGAATCGAACCGGAGACCCTTTGGTTTGCAGGCCTGCACTCAGTCCCCTGCACCACACCTGCCAGGGCTGTGGAAGAGTATTTTCATACCCACGTTTCTACTAGAGTGTTTTCCCTGTTTTAAAGGTAACCGGACTTTCCCGAAAATGCTCTACTGCAACTGGACCGGAGGTTATAAGTGGTCTACGGCCCTGGCTCTGAGGTGAGCTTTGTTACTGAGTAGTGACGGTGCCGTGTGGATTTTGTCGGGACAAGTGGCATCTTCCAGGTGTTGAGCCCAAGACGGGCTCCGAGGACACGCGGCTGTGGGGGTTCCTTAGGAAATGAGACCCAGTGCATTCATGGGGTTTAATGGCAGGAGGTTGGCTTTTCTCCCGGGAAGCCTGCCCATGACTTAGCTGAGTCAGGATTACAGATCATTAGAACTGGTCTGAGTTTCCCATTCTGAACATACCATGAATCAGGAAATACTGTATACTCTTTAAAGTTCCGTGGTTCGCTGTGTATAATGTGCACCCACCGTTTTGTGCGCATTATACGCAGGGTTGTTTTACACATGGCGTGTGATCATTATACCCATGTATAGTGCGCATCCTTATTTTCCCTTCAAAAATTTGGCCAAAAAAGTGTGCACTATACACAGCAAAATATGGCAGGTAGATTTATGATGTGTTTTTTAATTTTAGTACCTTCTTTACTTTAAAAAATAATACATGTATAATACTAAACACTGGAAAAGGTGAAAATGACCAAGAGACACATTAAAAGTCACCTAGAATTCCACCATCCAGAAATAATTATGGACTTAGAATTTTTACCTAGAAATGTGCTTGGACTTTTTTAGCTTTTCACCAGTTTGGGGAGGGAATTGCGTCCCTTCTTCCCAGGGAGGGAAGCACAGGAGGGGACCCGGCGGAGCGGCTCGTGGACTAAAACGCTGTGCCGTGTGCGGTGGGCGGGGCGGACTCAGAGCCTGAGGCCCCGCGGCCTGCAGCGCGCCCCGGGGCAGGGCTTCTTGGCCTTGGCACTGTTGGCTTTGGGGCCAAGGGATTCTTTGTTGGGGGCGCACCCTGTGCATGATAGGATGTTCAGCAGCATCTGCAGACTCGCCTTACTAGGTGCCAGTAGCTTCTCCTCCCCTGCAGATATGGCCGGGTGTCCCCTTGTGAAGAATCTCTGTGTTAGGGCTCGGGGTGGGGTAAGGAGGCAGCTGCCTGGTGTAACTGGGAAGGAAAAGCAGAGTCTAAGATGGGAGGTGACAGTAGCAACATGATTTCCTGACTGGCCACCTTCCTTGTCAGCCACGGTTCAGATGGACACTGACCATTTTTTTTAAAATAAGCTCTTTATTTTGGAATGATTTTAGACTTACAGAGAACTGGCAAAGATAGAGTTCCTGTCCCTCACCCAGTTCCCCCCACGTTGCTGACCTCTTAAGGGACCATGGTGCAGTTAACCACTTTCAAAAAGTAAAAATAGTTTGCCACCCAGGACTCATCATCGTTTCTTTCGGAATCTTCCGTGAATGTGCTAGTGTCGGGGTTTGCTCCAGGCACTGCGGGTGGGGTGCGGGGGAAGGGATGCACCGGGGCCGGCCGAGTGGTGATGTTGGCGCTGGCTCACAGCACTGGTCTCTTTACTTTTTACTTTTATATGTTCTGAAGTTTTCCATCACAAAAGTTTAAAAGAAATCCAGTGAGAAGTTACCCAAACAGCGTTAGATCTTAGCACTGGAAGGAACCTTAAAAGTCATTTATTCCTGACACTAAATTTTTGGACACGAGGGACTGAGACAGTCCGACAGCTTGACCTGGTGCGGCCTGATGCAGGGGCTGCCTTACGATGCCAGCTCCTGACTCTGCTTGTAATTCGTCTCAGGGATGGGCCGTGTTCAAGGCTAAAATGCAAGAGGGCTGTTACTCTTCTATAAAAGAGAAACCTTAGCGTTCAGTCCAGCTAAAGAATGTTCATTTACTTTTTACATTTAAAGAGTCTCCTTGCCTGTGATTACAGCAGACCCGTGGACAATACGGTCAGGGCGCTGACCACCGGCACAGTTGAAAATCCGCATGTCACTTAAAGTTGTACCTTTGAGTATGGGGAACCCCACCAGGGATCGGAAATACACAATTGGTGCCGTGACATGTGAAATAATCCTTGTCTCCTAACAGAGAGTTAGGGTCATTTGAGAGCCTTTCCCAGGTGGACTAAGCAGTGTTACGGGGTCACTCCGGCTGTGGGCGGTCGGTGGGGTCTGGTGGATTCCAGTCCTGTTTGGTGTTGCAGCATCACCCTCGGCGGGTTCGGAGCAGACCGCTTCTACCTGGGCCAGTGGAGAGAAGGCCTCGGCAAGCTCTTCAGCTTCGGCGGCCTGGGCATATGGACGCTGATAGACGTGCTGCTGATCGGGGTCGGCTACGTGGGCCCGGCGGATGGCTCTCTCTACATTTAGCTGCGGTCGTGCGCTTCAGAGAGGAGCAGCGCTGAGAGAAAGTCCTGCCTGTAGGGACTGATGTGCCGTGAGTGATACATCTGTGTGTTTTTAATGTACAGCATCTGTACTTTGCCTGCCTTGATGAAGGTCAAATTAAAAAACAAAGAACACTGAATGATGCTCATCTGGAATTTGGTTTTATTTGCCTTAAGTGTATTTTTTTTTTCTGTGAAAAAATGTAAACTTAATTGAACTAGGGGAACAAACTCTTTGAAAATCGATTTCATTCCTCTGACTTTAGTTTTATGTCGCTTAAGTCAAAGTGTCTCCCTCGGATCCCGGCCTGGATGTGGCCTGGCTTGAAAGCTTCCCAGCTGCGCCTGCGGAAGGTGGGCAGTGTGTTTAGCCTTCAGCTAAATAAATTTACCCACCAGCACTCGCTGCTCTGTGAGTCTTGCAGTGTCAACTACGTAGTCTGGTCTTTATTGTCTAGCTGCTGTGGTTTGAATTTTATTAGTAATATAAAAGGTTGTAAGAATACTGAAAAGTGAATAAAATTATAACTTGCTATAAGAAATATCGTAGACTTGTTTTCTGTGTTAAAAGATAATCTCGAGCAAGCGTAACAGCTGTTATTAAGGGGTGAAGTGTTTATTTTTTAGGGCAGGACTCCGTGCCGACAGAGGTTCACGTTGGCCCTTACAACATGGGGTTAGGGCGCCGGTCCCCAGGTCATCGAAACCCACGTGGGAGTGACGTCATCCCCTCAGGTGCCGGGGTTCCCAGCTGACCCTTGAACAGCACAAGTTTGAGCTGCGTGGGTTTAACATCTGCACAGGTGTGAACCTGCTGAGTCCAGGCCTTTGTTCAGCTGTGCGCTATGTTCAGAGCTGGCTGGTTTGTGGACGGACGTGCTGGGAAGTGTTCCGTGGGTTTTAGTGTGAGGAATGTTATTGAGTCTCTGGATTCTTTTTTGGAAAGAAAAAAACATCATTAACCCAAAATGGGTTTTGCAAAGGTTCCTCTTGAAACATGACAGCGCTTAGCATTTTCCTTTCAAATTGGACATCCGTTAATAGAAGATTTAACCAGCCTATCAGATCTACAAGCTATAAGATATTTTTTGAGAATATTTCCATGAATCTCATGGAACAAAACCACACTTCCTTCACCTGGTAGTAATTACAGTTTACCTGAAAGGGGCTTGATATCTTGCCATTTGGGACCTGCTGAGGTCTTTCCATGTAGCTGAGTAGCAGCTCCAGCTCTGGCCACTAGGTGGCGCGTCCCCCTTACATTGCTTTCCCATTATGTACACAGCCAATTTGGAAGTGCTTTTCCTCCGGATGTGAGCAGGGCACCTGGCACACCAGCGCTTCCGGCTGGGAGTAGCCCTGTTTGCATGGACCTCTCTTCTCTAGGGCAAACACTTTCTTATCTTTCTTATCCTGCACGGGTACGTGACGCTTGGTGCAGCAGGCATTGCTTTGGACGACGACCTGTTCTTACAAGGAAGCAGCCAGCCCCTTTGCTGCCTTTAACAAAGTTTTCTCTGGACTCTGCCCGGTAGTTAGCCCTACGCAGAAGAGAGCCTCCGGCATGGCCCCGTGGAGCTAGCGCTTGAGGAGGAGCCCAGGAAGCTGAGGGAGCTACTGGCTGTGCACCACTCATGGAGGAAGTTGGTAGCAGCCTTGACAATCCACCGACTGCCTTAATTACAGCTTTGGGATCTGAATGCAATACTGAAGCCCCAGCGTTTGGAAGGAGATGGCCAAAAGATTCTGAATCCACAAAAGGAATGAGTGCATGAATTTGTTCCCCATTCCTAAAAACCCTTCACAAGGGGACACTAGCCTTTGGGATGTAAAGAGTGCGAACGAAGCAAGGATGTTTGCTGCGGAGGATTTGATGGAGCCGATGGCCTCGGAAATTTCCGAATACCGTTCAAATGAATTTATGAATGACGAACTCCCGCATGAGCCCCTAAAAGAAACAGTATTTAAACTACACTCAAAAGACACCAGAAGGTGCGTGTGATCTCTAGCAAATTGCATGGGCCTTTGCGGGCAGCAGAATGTCATGTGTGGGTCAGCAAACTCCTTTGGGCTCCGTTCCTGTGAGCTATTAGCTCTGACGAGGGGCTGTTCGCTAGGGGACTCCTCACCGGTGGGGGAGTGTCTCAGGCCTCAGCCGGGCTTGGATCTGGAAATTCAGAATTGGCCGCTACAGCGTGCCGTACATCATTACTTCATCTTCAGCATCTGGGCCTTGCTTCGTCTGTGCTATTCCACTTGCCCCGGCAGTTCCTCCCGGGTTGGCGCCATATTGTTTTCTGGCCCCCCTGCCCCCAGCATCCCCAGCGCACTGTTTTGTACACAGTGGCTCATCTGTTTGCTGAGCCAGTTAATGTCATGGTGTCTTGGAAGGACGGAAGCACTCGAGTGGAACTCTGGGAGCGCAGCGGAGGTGGCTGCAGGAAGGTAATACCAAGAAATTGGCTTAGAGTCAGCGTGGGCCATAGCGCCGTGTCCATTGGATTCCCGCAAATTGCTGAGGAGCAACTCTGGTTCACAGTGCTTAGAAAAAGAGATTCTGAAAAGATCTTATGCTTCAAGGTGTAAAAATGCTTTCTCTATGCCACGCAGCTTGGCTTCCCTGTACTATTTAAAAATACTTCCTGCCAGAATTGCATTTGTTTTTGGCACGGTATCCGCTGAGCATCTTACAAATGATTTTAATTCACTCACAGTGATGGGTGGAAAGCAAACTGCGGCAGCTTTTCAAATGCAGCAGGAGAGCTTAAAATGAGAGTTTAATTCACTCCCCTAACCTTCCCCTCTGGCCAGGCCACAGCTGACAACAGCACCTTGGACAGTGTGAAGAGTCGCAGGGACCTTAGAGGGCATGCGAGTTCACGTTATAGGCAAATTGGGTATAAACTCTCAGATTTGAAGTATTGGAATTGTGTTATAACACTTTTATGCAAACTAAGGAAGGTTTGATTGACATGCTTGGATGTAACTAAGGCTCCATGAGAGCAAGACTGGTTCACTGCAGCAGTCCAGATTTGAGAGCCCTGCCTGGCACACAGTAGCCATCTATTGAATGAATGAATGAATGAATGAATGATGGGGACTCCCCAGGCCTAAGCTAAACACCTAAAAGTACAGCCAGGAGTTTTTGAGTAAAATGGTGAGAGTATGGCTGAATCACATCTTCCCTTTCCAAATACTTAATGACATGAACCTAATGTAGTCAAAATTGGCACCTCCTCCCCCCTCAAAACAAACAAGAAAACTGAGCAGCAAACACGGAAAACGACCATCAAATGCCAAAAACATCCAAACATGGTAAGAGAAGAAAAATAGTGCTTGGGTGTGCAAGGCTATTATTCCTGGCAAATCAGCAAAATCCAGGAAAAACCCAGGAACCCTCAGTGGCAAGAGAAACACAGGCGACTGGGAAAGGGCATAGCTTCGTTCTTCCCTGTTACTGCAGGGGAGGGGGCCAGCGAACAGCAGCACCGATTCTTTGCTGGATGTGTCTGGGAGGGGGAGGGGGCCCCACGCTGAACCCCATGGGTTATGAGGTCCACTCCCTAACCAGGGAAGGAAGCGTTAGTTGTCACTGAGAAAAATCTCAGTAAGGAGACCAGATGTTCTAGAAAAGATAGTCGCATCTGAGTTCTTCCCTGCCTCATCCGTGGCTATCAGGCTACTGAACGTTGAATAGAACACAAAACACAAATTTCAGACTGCTCAGAAAAAACGGGGGGGGATTATTCTCATGATTATCACAAAGTTGCCCACACTACACAGAACACAAAACATGGTACTTTGCACCCACTAGAACGACTATGATAAAATGACAGGTGACAGCAAGCATCAGTGAGGAGGTGGAAAACTTGGGACCCTCGCCTGGTAATATTCCTCGTTCTGAAGTCCACTTAGTCTGATGATAGTGTACCCCCACTTTTGCTTTATGACTGTTTGCTTGGTATATCTTTTCTACCCTTTATTTTTTAAATCCTCACCTGAGAACATGCTCATTGATTTTTAAAGAGAGGGGAAGGGTAGAAGAGAGGGAGAGAACCATCAATGTGAGAACATTTATTGGTTGCCTCTGGTATGGTCCCTGACTGAGACTAAACCCGTAACCTAGGCATGTGTCCTTACTGGGAATCGAACCCATGACCTTTCAGTTTACAGGATGATGCTCCAGCCATCTGAGCCATACCAGCCAGGGTTCTATACTTTTAATTTTATAACCTATCTGTGTCTTTATATTTAGACTGAATTTATTTTAGACAGCATATATTGGCCTTGGTTTCTTATCTGATCTGATCGGCTCTGCCTCTTAATTGGGAATTTTTCACCATTTACATTGAACATCACTGGTGCTGTAGTTGGATTTAAATCTATCTTGTTAGTGGTTTTCTATATGTTATATCTCTTCCTGTTCTTTTTCCTTTTTTCTGCCTCCTTTAGGATTAGTTGAGTTTTTAAAAATGATTTTCAGTCATTTTTCTTCAGAAACTTTCAGCCCCACACTTTTCTCCTTCCCTTCTTCTGAGTCTCAATTAATACAAATGTTAGATTTTGTTTTAAAATGTTTTATTTATTTTTAGAGACGGGAAGGGAAGGAGAAAAAGTGGGAGAGAAACGTCAATGTGTGGTTGCCTCTCGCACGCCCTCTACTGGGGACCTGGCCTGCAACTCAGGCATGTGCCCTGATTGGGAATTGAACTGGCAACCCTTTGCTTCACAGACCTGTGCTCAATCCATTGAGCTACACCACCCAGGGCCAAATGTTAGATTTTTTTATGTTAGTGTCCCACAGTTTCCTGATGCACTATTTTTTCTCATCCCTTTTTCTCAGTCGTTCAGATTGGAAATTTCTATTGATCTCTCCTTGTGTTCACTGGTTCTTTCCTCCTTTCCTCTCTCATCTCCAATTAACTATTGAGCCTGTCCACTGAGTTTTCAATGTCAATTCTTTTTTTTTTTCACTCATACAGTAAATTTTATTCAATGTCAATTCTTATGCTTTGTTATATTAGCTTCCCTTTGGTTCTTTTTTATATCTTTCATTTATTTGCTGAGGGTTTAAAAATTATTTATTTTTAGAGAAAGGGGAAGGGAGGGAGGGAGAGAAATATGGGTGTGTGA